CAATACCATTTAAAATCACTCATTCAATCAATCGATCAATTAATTTAAAGGGAATTCCTGGCCCTTTCCTGTGCCACATTCCAACACACCATTCTACACACTTTTTTTAACTGCCTTTCAATGAAAGAAATCGCGACTCGCGAGAGTGTCTTCTGCAGCGGAGTTCCCCTGATTCCTGCTCTCATTCTGTCGGTTAACCAATTGTTAAATTCTCTTGTGTAATACGATCCGCGTGTGGAATGTGCGGTAAGGAATCTCGGGAATCTAGGGCTCTGGGAAATCTCTTGTAGGAAGGCCAGGGCGTGGCATTTGGCCAATAGGAGTGGAAACTCTCTCAGCAGATCCACAACTTTCTCACACACTCCCTCCACGCAGAGTACGAGGAGTATTTATTGAAAAATGCAAATAATGTGGAACAAAAACCAAGACACACCAAGACACAAGCACAAGGGATATATCTACATATGTGTATACACTGTATATGCTTAGATATATCCTCCACTCCACAGTCAAGTCTGATCATCGGTTTACGACAATAACTCACTCACTCACTCACTCGCAAAAAAACAAACAAAACAAAAAACAACAACAGCAGCAGCAGAAAAATCACGGTCAGGCCTCGTTGGAGAGATGTTTGGAAACGGGTTTGATTTCTTCAAGCGAATGGATTTGCGAAACGGGTTTCCTACACACACACACACACACACACACACTGTCCAAAGGGGCAACCTCCCCTTTACCCCATTGCCAGATGGGCGTGGCACTGACCGCACACACTCGATCGATCAGCACTGAATGTGCAATGAATTTTCAACAGTTTTTGAGACTTTACTTTTTGAGACTTTTGAGACTTTTACTTTACTTGGGATTTCTTATTCAGTTGCCATTTGGGAGAAAAGGTAAAGGTAAAACCAGACGAATCTTAAACCATTATTTTTTGAGATATATTAGATAAAATATATTGTGAGAAATAAGTTTAAACAAAAAAAACACCCCAGAGTTGTAAATTTCTGAAGATTGGCTTCAAGGAAAGAGATCAAATTGATTGATATTGATAATTATCTAACACTTTCAGTAATAATTTAGTTCAAATATAATTTTAAAAATATTACCTAATCTTTAATGAATTACAAAATCACAAAATAAAACATGAAACAAATTGAAAACAATAAAAACGGATATCCATAACTCACATGCGACTATGTATTTACACATTTTTTTATTTGTTTCAATCTAATTTTTATAGAGGATTTTACGAGTTCCCATGAATTGTGATATGCGCGCGGCATCCATACGATCTTTTGTTTGTGAGAGCACCCACCTTATAGACAGACAGACAGAGACAGCGACAAACAGCTGCACGAACAAAAGCTCCGATTTCCAGATAAAACTCTCCTCCCCAACTCGCCCCCCTGCCTTACCCAACCCATCCAAAAAATCTGTGGAATAATAAACTATATTTTGTGCAAAAAAAAAAACAAAAAAAAAAGCCAGATCGGAAACCAAAGCAAAAGCAAAGCCAAAGGCGAAACACACACAGATATTGGATTATTGCGGAATCGGTCGAAAGCAAAAGTAATGTAAACAAAAGGCGGTGCAGGGGGAGAGCGAGGGGCGTGCAGATGGGGGCAGGGCAGTCAGACGGAGGAGTGGCAGAACAAACAACAAAACCCAAAAATAAACATATATTTTTTTTTGCATTTAAGAACACAAGAACAGAACAGACCCAAAGAAGAGAGTTCTGGAGCTCTGTGAGTCTGAAATCTGAAAATCTGAAGGCGACTCCAATTACGCGCCAAACTGGGCAAAAAAGGAATTGCAAAATAGGCGAAAAAGTCCATAAGAGAGAGGCGCAATCACCAAAGCGGGTGCCAAGAGTGGAAGGGGATCGGTGCCCCATTCTGCAGTGGCGTTCAATTGCAGCTGTGCCCCACAAGAGCCGCAGCAGCACCAGGAACTGGGCATGCCAGCGGAACCTCTTACGAGGGGGGAAACGAGTCTCAAAATATGAACATTCCAAAGAGCTTCTGAAATATAAGAGGTGTTCCAGGGATCTACAGAAATGTAAGTCTATAGAAATAGAAGAGTTTCAAAATTCTACAGAAAATAGTGGGCTGGGACTGGGGATCCACAGAAAGTGTCAGGAAGGGGTTTGAAAAATGATCAGTGAAGGCAAAACCTCTGAAAAGAGTGAGTGCAAAACTACTATTATTATCACCAAAAAACAAAATTCTTCTTCTCCAATCAAGGAATCGTAAATTTGCTCAATAAGGTCGTCTGTCTTCACTTTCATATTTAGTTTATAGCAAACCTGATACTCGTATATTATCAGCTATTTATCAGTAATTATTACACTACTACCCCAACAGAACCAAACAGAAATCAAATTGAACGTAATCAAATGCTACGTAATATTCCTTAAGTTAAAAGTCTGAACAGTTCGGAACTGTTGATAAGCTGGAAAGGCGGCGATAAGTTGGCCAACCAGTTGGATAGATGTCACCATCCCCCCTTCCCCAATACAGCACTATTCAACAGTCATACGAATACTCGTACCACTCGTCTGATGTTGCAGCAATTCTACCGCTGCTGGGGATTGCGATTGCTCAACAAGTTATCTGAGGAGGAAGTGGACAATCATTCCGTTTGTAGTGTCTGAGTAAAAAGGTGTTTCCAAAGCAACCTGACAACCATTGTCTGGGGTCTGAAAATCTCCTACAATCGTTTTAAGCACAAATATTTACATTGAAAATTAAAGAAATCGTACAAAAATGTTGAATTTATTTGGAAACTAATTGAAGAAGAGCGCCTCTTTCCAGAGCCCCTTCTTCTGAGACGGAGCGTAATCTATTTATATTTACCCTCTTTGCAGATCCTTAAATTGTTCAAAATTTGTCTTTTATCAATGAGCAAATATTTTTTCATAGTCATAGAACCCCCCTGCCATTGTTTGAATGGAATCTAATATGAGCTCTATCGTGTCGTAATTGGATTATCTGGCACCTGCCTGTGTGGTAGGCCCACTCGCACACCTGCACACACGTGTATGTGGTCTCTCCCTCTCTCTCTATCTCTGTGTTTGTCTCTGTCGCTGAGTGTGTGTCCCAGTTTCTCTCTTTCTCTTCCCACTTGGGCGTCTGATCCGATCCGATCCGATTCGGCCTACATTCGCCTCTGCACTTGTCCGTCCGTCACTTGCTTTGGCTCTCGTCTTCTGTTTGGCTCTTTTTTCCACTTTATTTGTTGAACTTTTGATATTTGTTGTTCGGTTTATTTGTATCCCCTTCCCTTCCCTTCCCCAATTTTCTTATCACCTGCGGCTGTCAATGCAATTGCATTGTGTTTATTGTCATAGTTTTTTGGTTTATCTTGGACTTGTATTTTTTTGGGACACACATTGATAAGCTAAATGGAACGGAATGTGGAACGTGCTCATTGATAACGGGGCAAAAGGTAACATGTACTCACTCCCTCTCCTAGTACATACTTCCCCCACTCGCCCACTCCTCATTGTTCCTACGCATTCACTTCTCCGAGTACATACTATAAGAGAGAAGTCTCCATGAATTTGGTTTTTAACAGAAATACTCTAATACGTAGACTTTTCTATCCCACTTTACATGATCAAAATTGCTTCCTTCTCCAATTCATGGCCAAACTTCTGCTACGAATTACAATAATGCCCTGTAACAATCTCATGAGTCATGCAACAAAAGTACAAAGTTCAGCTATGAAAAATGCATAGCCATGCAGTAGCAAACAGCATACAAAAAAAAATGAGAGACGGAGAACGGGTCTGGGGGCAGGGAGCGCCAAAATAGAGCTGCAAACAAAAAGAGAATTGAGAATTGGCAAGAACCGCAAAACAGGCTTGTAATTGTAGTTGTTGCTGTTGCTGTTTTTGTTGTTGCTTTGTGGTAGGCAAGACAACAGTACAATGACCGAAACTTTTGCCATGCAAAATAAGTAAAAGAAGAAGGAGGCGAAATAGAAGTAGAAGAGGGAGGTAGCAAAGCCAGAACTCCGGCAAAAAAAAAAGCGTAGTAGAAAAACAATCGTGTAAAGAGCGCTTCTGCTGCTGCGCTGCAGCTACTTAAAAACCTGTTGGTCAAAGAGGAACAGCAACAGCCAAGCACAGCACTAAAAATTCCAATCTTCCAGTCTGCTCTCCACTGATGTTGCTGCTTTTTATCCACAGGTTTCCAGTGCTCTCGCAAGCAGAGGCTCTGTTCTCCTCCCTCCTTCACGCTCTCTCTCTCTCTCTCTCTCTCTCTCTCTCTCTCAACACCATCTCTGTGAAGCAGAGCTGTTCTCCTCCACTAAAACAGGTATAACTGTATGGCGCTGTTTCTGCGTGAGTTGGAGCGAGAGGGAGAGAGAACGCGCTTGAGTGAGTGTGGAGTAGAGTGGAGACTTTTTCGTATGATGCGAGGCAACATCTTCACGAAACAAACGATCAAAAAACAAAGGTAAAACTCTGATAACAAATGAAGGTGAGCAGCAAAATAAAAAATAACCGAAAGACAAGAAGAAGACGACGAGGAAGGAGGAGGGGAGTCCAGTAACAATGTTGGTCGCACCCTTTTCGGGGGCTTATGGAGAAGATCTGCTCTCTAAGCCACCATCCGCGTAGAGAAGCCACTGTGTCGTATTGGAGCGGGGGAGATTAAGCGTAGAGAATTACGTATCCTGTTACGTATTTAAAGGGGAGAGGGAAGGAGCTTCTGTTAGGAGGAGAGAGAAAGAGCTTCAAAAGCGGAAAGTACAAAAAAGAAAGAAGAGCGGGTGGAGCACGCGTGTATGTGTTTGTGTGTAGAACTGCAGACGCCGTTGGAATGTCGCTGCCGCTGCGCTGCTGGCTGTCTTTGTTGTTTTTGTTGCTAAGCCGGACATGGCAATTGTTTGTAGTCGGAGAGGGGGAGGAATGAGTCGAGTGGGGGAGGGCACTTATTTTGCAAACAATTAAGAGCAAAAGCTCATAATTAACTCAATTGCAATACCTTTTTCTGGCGTCTAGCCGCGTGAGTGTATTATATTCCAATTTTCCAGTGAAGTACGGGTGTAAAACAGCACTTTTTCACTACACTTTTCTCGCCTAATTAAATTAAGGCCTCAATTGTAGATTTGTTGCATTTGTATTTGTATTTTTGTTGTTGCACATTTCGCGACGCAACGGCATCGACGGCTGCGCAGTCCGCAGTTCGCGTCTACGTCGACAGCGGGCCAGCAAGACGACCGACGGCGTCGAACAAGCGCAACGCGCAAAGGAATGCGAAAAAAGTAAAATTGAAATTGCGCAAAAAATTCAAACGATAAATGGCAGGCGCGCACTGCCTTTTAATTTATGTTAACAAATGCAAAACAAAACAAAACTTGTGCATTTATATAGAATCACTTTTGCACTTGTTGCCGACGTTGATGCAATTTCCTGCCTTCTGGGGAAACTCGAACGAAATCTTCACAGCGAACAGTGAGCGACGAAAATATCAGTGGATATTTTGGTTTTTTGCGGAAAACATTAACAACGGACTTTTCTGAATTCAGAAAACAAACTCGACACAATCGTGTTGTTTCATGGTTCGCGGCGAAAAACTTGTGAGACCATTTATCCCGGATCGCGGGCACACTAATTCCAAAGTTTAACTAAATTTGCCCAAGCGCGTTTTCACATTTGCTCATTTTAGCGTTTGTTCACGAGTTACCCTTAACCCACTGAGCCTCACTTTATTTAATTCTCTATTTTCTCCAAAAACGAAATATACTCGTTTATCACCTAAACTGAGACAAAAGTCTTCAATTTTAATCATGTTCTTGGTAATTAAATTGACTCGTTTTTTATTTTATAAACATAAAATAAAGTCAACTAAAATGACAATTTTTACATCGTAACTTCACGGTAACTACACAGTTGCTACATATAAGCTAAATATTTGTGTAAATATTGACAGAGACATCTGGCGAGAAAATCTGTACTTTGTCCACAAGTTTCAGTTTCTTTTCAAAATGTTTTTGTTGTCGTTTGTTTGCGATTGATTCTGGATATTCATTAATTAAACTTGACTTTCCGTTTACCTAAAACAAGTTTAATCCATTCAAAATTAATTAAATTTCCATACATTGATCATCATACATTTTCCGGTGCGAAAATCCATTACTTGCGGAAATATTTTAATTCCAAATTATTGCATGTCATGTGGATATTGAAATCATGTTAAACCCTAAACAACAAACTATCTTCTTTAATTGTTTAACATTACATGCAGTGTGGAAAAGACTTTGGCTTCAATCAAAATATAAACGAGAAGGAACGTGTGAGTCTCTTCTCGGGACGCGACTCTACTTATACCCGTACTCAGTCAGTAAAAACATTTTTGAGCTTATGATTTTTTAGAATTTTAAAATTTAAAAAAAATGTACATTTTTTTGCTACATCTCTTATCTACATCTACATCTTATTTACATCTAGCATGTAGATTATAGATGTACCATTTATATTCTACATCTCCTCCGCTAGGGGTTGCTCGCGCACTGAACGCGGCAGAGTGTGGAAGCAACTGAAAATTAATTTCTTCATTCTGGCTACAATTATGATTCGATCTGATAGATATTTCGTCACTCTCTGTTGAAATTTTTATTCGCTGAATTCGCTTCAACCAATGAAAATTGGTTTAAAAAAACCTTCCGCTTGGTTGTGCACTATTTTTTTTCCAGCGTATAAATGTTTACTGGAAGGAAGGAAGAGGGGATATAATCAATTCTATGAGCTCTTTTTGTATTATGAGTATCTCTCATAACTCATCTATGCGAAAATTGTCACTAAATTTTAAATCCATCTCATTTCATTTTGCAGCTTATTCTTGCAGATACCAATCGGGATCGATACATATATAGAGGAATCTAATCTAGGTCAAAAGCATGTCAATACGAGTAAATTCATTGTTACTTAGAAACTAAACCAAAGCAGCTTAAGCTGCTGCACTCCAATTGGAGGAAAGGAGGAAAGGAAATTTCCCGCTGTGCAACGATGTGATGATGCCTGGTTCTTGTATGTGCGCTAAAGTTTAATGTGTTTCCACTTGGCGTCACAACTTTTTTTTTTTGTTGATATTTACTAACCTGATTAAATAGAGCGGGGCTAAGCTATTTTTTTCTCGGTTTCTGAGGTTCCAGTCCCACTCGACATAACAAATCAAGTGAAATATTTATTTTTCCATATATGTACATTTGAAAATGACCGCCAATCTCATTTAGCCGTAAAAATATCGATATTATTCGTACCCAAATCGTGGTGGTTTTTCAAAATTCGCTCTCAATTCGTGGTGGGTTTTTAAAATTTGCTTTCTTTTCAGTGGTGAAGAGAGCGTTTTTGCGGTGACTTTCCCCTCATTTTCGTGGTGTGAGAAACATGTTCTTAACGGGAACGCGTATGGAATGAAGATTCATTGTTGCGTCATTCCATACGCGTTCCCGTATGATACATTTGATTTGTATGGGAAAAATTTCAGCAACATGGGGAAATGAAGTAGCAGCATTGTTGTGCAACTTTGGCACGGAATGAGCAACAAGTCTGAATACCTTGGGAAAATAGATATTATGGACTTGAGATACTGTTTGTAATTTCAGGCTCCAATTAATGCCGAAACTAGCCAGTCTCTTTTGTAAAGACATAAAACGAAATTTTTTAGCTCACGGGTACCAATAATAGGTATCAGAACCGGGATAAATGTAAGTATATAAAACAAAACATATGCATTAATAGGTAAAAAACATGTCAATCTAGTATAAAATCATAAATAATGTTTCAATGGAGCTTGGAACAAAACATTTAACATCAATTAAAAGAAATAAGGTATACAAAAGTACATACGCATAAAAGAAACTTGGTTGACCAGCAACACTGACGTCACATTTTGTCAACATTTACGTTTTATGCTTTGGCCGCTTTTGTTTGAACCCTATTATCTAAACAATACAATGAAAAAGAGTTCTGAAAACTAGCCGATCCTGAACAAAATTGATGTATCTATCGGATAAAATGATTTGTTTAGGGCTGAGACGGCCAACTACCTGGTAATATTAAACTGAATATCAAAATTGACGAATTTCATATCACAAAATATCACGGCTTGGCAGCCCGCAGCAACTACGAATTGCAGGAGTCTGGTAGCGCCACAAAACGACGACACATTCGTTTTATGTTGTTTTTGTTTGAACCTTAATATGTAAATAATGCAATAAAAAGGACTTCTAAAAACTAGCCAATCCTAAACAAAATTCATTGAGGAATTGGATAAAATTATTTGTTTAGGGCTGAGAGTCCCAGCTAGCTAGTAATATTAAACGGAATATCAAAATCGAGAAATATCTACGTTGAATGTTTTGAAAAAACAATCGATACTATCGTGATAGCTCAAATAATTATTAAAAAACCATTGAAACCTTTTAGGAACTTGTCCATTGTAAAAATTAGATGCCACCTGTCGATGATTTGTTTACAAATGTGTCTTCGTATCTTATAGCAGACAATCCAAACATATTAAGAGCGCAACGACTGTAGCTCGATACTATCATGATAGTCTCAAAACCATCGATAGTAGAGGCTAGCAGAAAAATATCGATACTATCGATAGTGCCCTCGATGGTTTGACACCTCTACTAATCAAAACACAAATTGAAAATGATTGAAATTAAAGCCAAATTGGTGCGAGCCGACTCGGCCATTTATGCCACAGGTGAACGCGTCGAGTGTTTGATTGAATTCTCCCACAAAGTCTTTTCCGAGGAGCAGCCGCCGTCAAATAGGAATGCCAACGAAGCAGGGTACGAGTTTCAGCCAAAACAACGAGCTAGCTAAGTAAATAAAAGCTAATTTCCATATTGGACAGCCTGGAGAACCTCGCCTGGGCCTCGGCACAGCTCCACTGCTACCGCAAGACCAGCTATTCCACGCCCACAGCGGACAAGACGCAAGAGTTGACGGAGCTCATAGGAAGAACCGCGTTGGATGCGGTGACCCAGGCGCCCGGAGAGGTAATTGTGGCCACCAAACCGAAGATACTGTTCTGCGACCAAAAGCTGCAGCCCGGCGAGACCAAGATATGTGAGTAGGAGACTACCAGATCAAATAGAGTTCATCAATCCAATCATTTCCAATCTACAGATTTCTTCAATGAATTTGTGCCACGCGATGGTCCGCCCACATATCGTGGACACGACATCAGATACTTCTACAAGATCACCATAGCCACGCAGCGGGTCAAGTCCAAGGTTCAGACACTTACAGTGCCCATCCGCGTGCTTCCCATTCCCATTATAGCCCGGCCGGATGAGCTCCCGGTGACGGTCGAAACCAACGAGGAGCTGGCGCCGACCAATCCGTTCGTGGAGAAGCGTGAGATCAGCGAACTGGAGATATCCTGGCACCATCTAAAGGTGAGTAAAGCCCCACCCCTGTGACGATTTGTGGTGCCATTCATTGCACTCCCTTTTAGAATGTGACTGCACGTCGTGCTCCAAAGTTCTATCGCATTTCGAACAAACGTGGATTTGTTGGCCGCTTCTGCCTGTTCAAGCCCGCCTACAAGCTGGGCGAGGATATAGTGGGTAGCCTGGACTTTGATGGCTGCCAGGTGCGTTGCGTCCAGTTCTCGGTGAAGCTGCAGCAGCAGGAGCTTCCGATCCGCCCACAGACGCCACAAGTCCTGCAGTCGCAGTCGTCTGTCGGGGACGATGCCTCATCCATTCAATCCTTCGACCTGGCCAGCATAGCCAGCGGCGTGGCGGTAGACAGTATGCACAGATCGGTCACTTCGGGCAGTGCCCGGGAGGAGGCACCCGCGCCCACAGGCAAACTCTCGACCATCTCCACCACGCATCAGGTGTGCTATGCGACGCTACAGACGCAGGTGGTGGTGCCCATTCCCCTGCACGTGACGCCCACATTCCACACGGATCTCGTCGATGTCAAGTGGCGGCTGCATTTCGAATTTGTGACCAGCACGATGATGGATTTCGGTGGACCAAATCCGGAGTCTGGGGAGCTGAAGGCGCCCGCCGAGATGCCCGTGGAGACGATGGTGTGGAATCTACCGGTCACCATCTATGCGGCCAATCCGCTGCAGATCTATAACCCGAACCAGACATTCAATCTTTTAATTAAGTGATTGCCAAGCAAACTGTGGTATAAAACCGAAATATTTGAGTAATTTTTTAACTTTAATTAAAGGAAATAGGGTATACAAATTTGCATGCTACTGGTTGACAAGCAACAAGTCAAATAATGTTTCATTTCATTCCCACTTAGGTTCTTTTTTGTTAACCTTTTCTGTTTGAAAAAAATCAAATAAAAGGAGTCCTTTACATTAGGCAATCTTTCAGGAAATTATGTTTTTATAGCTGAGAGTCTGAGCTAGCTATTAAAATTGAAGCGAATTTCATGATCGGGGTTCAATGATTTTCGATCATGGACAGAGAGCGATCAGTAGGTATTTAAACTTACGCAAATTTATTTAAAAACACACAAAATATGTATATGAATTAACAGGTAAAAAACTTGTCAATCTAGGATAGAACTTTAATTTAATTAACTTTAACTTTATGTTTCAATGGAGCTTGGAACAACAAATTTAACATCAATGAAAGGAAATAAGGTACAAAAAAGTCCATACGCATAGAAGAAACTTGGTTGACCAGCAACAATGACGTTAAATGTAGTCAACATTTACGTTTTATGCTTTGGCCGTTTTTGTTTGAACCTTATTATGTAAACAATGCAATAAAAAGGATTTCTGAAAACTAGCCAATCTTGTAGAAAATTGAAGTATCAACCGGATAAAATTATTTGTTCAGAGCTGAGAGGGCTAACTTATCCCATTGTCGACCAGGGGGGTATTTAATATTTCCACGAAATTTATGTAACCTTAACATATTTTACGCATTACAGGTGAAAGATGTCGGTGGTTATTTTTGTTTTTTAAGAAGAGGAGGATGGAGCTACAAGAAGCCTTTAAAAACAGCATTATTATTCGCGGTTTAACAAGGGGTGCTACACTTTTTAAATAGAGGGGTGTTAAGTGGGTAAAGTCTCGTTTGATCGCCGGATTGCCCTGGATTTTTGTGGTATGGTATTTAAATGGTATTTCTCGAAACTGAAATGGTATTTAATGGTATTTATTTGTTGGTCGGATGGTATTTTTAATGTTATCGGCGCGGTCACACTAAAATAGAGTCGCAAATAAAAATTTTAACTTAATTTCCACTTAAATTGAAGTCATGTACCAGGAATATCTAAACCAACTGCAAACGTCCATCGCGCCGCTCACCTCGGACCAGCTGAAGGAACTGCTGAACAATGACGACAAACTGGACGAGAAGGTGGACGAGGTACTGCTGGCTTTGAAGGAACAAAAGAACAAAATTTTCGAAGACAATCGCAGCCGAGCGGAGGGAAACATCGAGAAGGAGCCACAGATCATCGAGCTGCGCGGCAAGCTGTCAGAATTGTCCGAGGAGGGACGCAACTGCTGCAGTGCCGTGCAGGAGAAGCTTACAGAGCTCAACAAAAAGACGGGTGGCGTGGGGCAGGAGACGGCTCTGGCGCTGCTGCAGACGGCCGCTTCCGAGAGCGAGGAGCAGACCGAGGGGATGGTCAAAAAGTTCAACGAAAACGAGCTGAATGTGGAGGCCTTCCTGGAGGAGTTTCTTGCCAGCCGCCGCACCATGCACTTGCGGCGCCTCAAAGCCGAGAAGATGCAGGATCTGATACGCAAGCAGCGACGCAGCACAGCCGCCGCCCATTTGCCAGCGTACGGAAATGTGCCGGCCAGCGGCTTCTATCCCTCGCCCGGTGGATCATCTATGCCCTATCCCCCGTCTGGTGGTATACCCTATCCCTCTGCTGGTAACTCGGCGCCGTATCCCATGATGGGCCCCCTAATGCCCATGCCGCCGCCGTCGAGGCCGTACTAGATGGGGTCGACGGGTCATACCCATAGACGAGTTACTGCCATAGTAGTAGTAGGTGTAGTAGTAGTAGCAGCAGAGGAGAGGATAGGTGGGCGGAGGGGCGACGCATGACGCATCGCATCCAGTAGTAGTGGAATTTTTACAACAGACAGTATGAAAGTATGAAATATTTAATAAACGACATCTCATCGAGTTAAAAACTGGTGTTTATTGTTTAAAATTTCAGAATAGAATCTTCACTTTAAGTACATATTGCTTCAGGTTCTTCCGCTGACGAATCGACAAATGGACAATGGGAACGTTTGTTTTGTTTTGTTTGTGTTTAATTAAATTAAATTACATTTTTTGAGTTGCTCTATAGATCTGATCTGACATCTGCCATGATCTGCCTGCACTGCACTAAACTATGATATATGTATAGTATGTAATGTAATGTAATGTATAAATTAAGCGAAAGTTAATATTAAATGTTAGACAGTGAACGATACGTTACGTTTGCTTTTCTTTGCTTGTTAAAAATACAACTTTTTGGATAAAAACAATTTATGGAGCATGATGGATGGGGGTGGGGGGGCCCAAGGCTAGGCGGCGTTTAAAGCGATTCCTTATCGTGTGTATATATATAGAGCATAGAGTGCTGATTGGGTAAACTATAAGTATAGGAAGGAAGGAGGATTGTGTGGTGCTTGTTGTGTGTGATTGTTGCGTGGGTTGTTATCTCTATCTATCTATAGAGTGGGTGTATGTGTGTGTGTGTATATATAGTATAAACATATTGCCTATCTTTCGATTTCAATTCGTTTCAATTTCAGATTTGCATTTCGTTTCATTGGGTTTTTCCTCTTAGAGAACGATTAGTCTTTTGTTTTGTAATTCCAACGGCTGCCGTTTCCATCGTATGTGTATATATATATGTAAATATTTAGTTCATATCGTATGTGTGTATATGCAAAATGTTATATATAAAATATGTTCAACTATTCCTCCGGGCGGATCGGATCGGTACGGTTCGGTTCGGTTAGGATCTCTTTTTAAAAGCTTAATAACTTAAGCGCCTATTGTTAGGGTATTCAAAAATATATTCGTACAATTGCCACAAATTGTAACGAGGCAGGGGGAGGGTGAGGGTAATGGTAATGGTAACGGTAACGCCATCATGATGAGCCAAACTCCTTCATCCACTTCTCGTACTTATCTAGATCCGCTCTGGACACGCTCTTGTTGCAGCGACTCATGGCCTCGTTGAAGTCCTTGTTGGACACGGGCAGGTCCACCTCTTCGGTGGCCAGCTGCCTGATCTGCTCGGGCGTCAGGCCAGCAATCTTCCGCCGCATGGACATCATGCTGGCCTCCCTACGAGAACAAACAAACGAGAGTTTAGAATCACACCACAGAGGCAGCAGTTTTCCCAGCCGTCAACGCGACAGTCAACCCACCTGCAAACATTGGTAATGTCCGCTCCGGAGTAGCCCTTTAGCTCGTTGGCCACGTAGGTGAGATCCACCGTATCGTCCACTTTCACCTCGCGCAGATTGATCTTGAGCAGCGCCTCGCGCCCCTCATCCGACGGCAGTGGTATGTAAATGCGCTTCTCAAGCCGCCTGCGCAGCGCCTCATCAATGTCCCAGGGAAAATTGGTGGCTGCCAGCACCATAACAACTTTGGCCTGCTCCTCGCCACCGCCCACGCCGTCCATCTGCACCAGCAGCTCCGATTTGACGCGTCGCGAGGCCTCGTGCTCCGTTTCCGACCCCCTGCGCGAGCACAGCGAGTCAATCTCATCGATGAAGATCGTGCTGGGCGCATAGAAGCGCGCCATTTCGAACAGTAGTCGCACCATCTTCTCCGATTCGCCGCGATACTTGGAGGTGAGCGTGGCAGAGCTGACATTGAAAAAGGTTGTTCCGCATTCGGTGGCCACTGCCTTGGCCAGCATCGTTTTTCCCGTGCCCGGTGGTCCGACCATCAGCACACCCTTCCATGGCCGTCGAATGCCCTGCAAGAGAAGAAGAATATGTTGGTAAGGGATCAATGATGGTATATCGGTAAAAATATAATTATATATATAGATAAATGATTTTATGCCTGTCAACGACATGAAAACGACATGAATAAAACCACTTGTTTGTGCCACTGAAATATGTAGATACATGTGTATATAGATATCAGACAACGAATCACTTCCTACACACCCACACACACACACTTGTAGATAAGATTGTGCCAACAAGCAAATGAATTCATAATAAATACAACTTTCTCAGCAAGTGCCATAGTATAACAATGATGGATCCTTCTTGAGGATTGAGAGTAACGCTGCCATAGATAGCCGCTACAAGGGCTAAACTCTTTCAGAATATCAATCTGCGGAACGCCTCACCTCACCTCACTTAATTACCATTTCATTACAACTAAGATCAGATGATCTTTGGGATCGTAAACATCTACTCTACAAACATTGTGGAACACGGATAGCGTTTATTGACCCAACACCGACCGCAGATAAGAACGACTTTGTGTAAAGTGATTCAGAGTTCCAGGGTAAACAAGAGAAGCGATGACGCACCTTGAAATAGTCTGGCATCAGCATGGGCAATACCACAGCCTCCTCCAGCAGCCGCTTGGCATCTTGCAGATCTGCAATGTCGCTCCATCGCACCTTGGGATCCCTTTGCAGTATATCACGCTCTGGAACAGACAATGGGCAATGGTTAGGAATAGACGGGCCATAATGGGGGGGGATGGAGATTAAACTAACCAAGAATGTCGACCAGCTCGGCTTCGATGTGATTGTTTGGCTGGAACTTGCGCTCCTCTTCGCCCGCCTGCGAGTCACCGCCTTCACCGTCGCCCGGTCCGCCGCCATTGCTGGCTGCCACGGAGTCCTCATCCTTGCTGTCGTTGTTGTTGGCATTGCGATCGTTGTTTGAGGTGGAAAGTTTGCGCCCCCCCGCCCGGCCATTGGAGGCACGTGCACTGTTCGATGTGGAGGCGGCGGCGGACGAGTTGCGGGCATTGCGCGCCGTGCTCGGGCCGTTTCGGTTCGTGCTCTGTGGGATTGTGCTGGGACGGTTGCTCTGCGGAGCGGTGCTGGTGGTGCGTCGACTGTTGGCAGCGGCTCGCCGGCCCACAACCTGTGTGGTGCTGGTCGAGGACGAGGGTGGGGGCTTGGGCGGACCCCAGACATCTGGATCCTTGGGTGGTGGTGTCCAAATATCTGGATCGGGCTTGAACCAGGCGGCGGGATCTTTGCTCACATTGCCCTCATCGCTTAGCTGGTGTCGCAGCTTGTGGGCAAATTTGGTGCTCTGCAAATCCAGTGATATGTCCTGCAGTGTGCGTTGTATGGCCTTGACTTTGGCATGCTCCTGGCTGATCTGCTGGTTGATCTGCAAGCAAAAGAAAGCTGTGAGTGGTGAAGGGTGGTGTGACAGAGGGCGGGTTGTAGTGTCCCCGTTTACCATGCTCCACTTGCCCTTCCGCATGGGATCCGCTGTGGCCTTGAGCTGGCGTGCCAGCAATCCCTGCAATCCCTCGTAGTAGATGCAGGCCGAGTCATAGTTACCCGTCAGCGCCATGTCCCTGGCTAATTTGGCATTCTCGCATATTTCTTCAAACGTAGTTTTGGCCATTACGGTCATTCCTACACAGTTGCTTGTCTTTTGCTTGCCACCTCGCAGTAGCTGCTCCGATTCGAACCGAACGGTACGGTGCGGTACGCAACAGAACAGGTTGTTGTCGTTGTAACCAAAAACGAAACAAAGATTAGTTCCAATTAAAGCATTCGAGTGCGTAGCATGAGTTTCTCTGCTTCTAATGCCCGTTGTTGCTCTTGTTGCTACGGAGTGTGCGGGAAGAGGTGATTGGGGGTGGGGGTGTTGGGTTTTCGACTGGTGTCAGTGAGTGCGAACAATAGAACGGAAGCGACTTTGGTGGCACTGCGTCACTCACACTCGCAGTCGTACTCGTACACACACACACACACACCAATGCCAGACAATCACACAGTCAAACACGGAGAGAGCCCGCCCCACCGTCGCCGCTGCCTTTGCCTTGCAAGTAAAAATGGAAAGTGAGCCGCGCAGCCAGAGAATACAATCTCAAATAAAAACTAAATAAAAGGAAGATACTCGGTACGAGTAGCAATGCCAACGACCGAAGTGCGTTGCTAATTATAAAGCACACAAACACACAAAATCGCCAATTGTCAACGGGCGTATGTGTATATATTTAAACACGCTCTCAATTCACATTCCCATTCTTCCACTTCCACTTCTACTACTTCCAAGGCGGGACGTGGGCCCCCGGCCGAAATGCCGATTGGAAAAATGTAATAAAATTATTATAAACCCGCATTGGAAGCAGCCATGGCCGCAGCAGCAGCGCCCGAATAAGGCGCTCGACCTTGTTGGCTCGCTTTTGAATGATTCTTTCAACTCAACGACATTCAAAACGTCGTAGCGTATGCAAAAAATAAAGAAAAAATGTTCAACGTTCACACACACATGCAAACGGCAGCGAAAAAGAAGGAAAAAAAACCCAGAGCAGAGCTCAAGTTTCAGCGGCGCGCACTCACACACACATGCAAATGAATGCGATTTAAATAGATTTCAAGTCAATTGCAGGGCTTTAAAGATTGCATTTTAGCGCTTTTGAATACAATTTTCAATTTATGCTCTCAGCTACGTGGGGGCGGGCGTTTGACGTTGACATTTCTCAGCAGCCGCTGGCTTTAACTTCAACACCGACATTTTGGCGGCGACTCGATGAACTTACGGTTATGGACATTAGTAAACTGGATTTGTTACACGGCGTTGAAAGCTTAAAGTTAAAAAGAAACTTATTTAGCTAATAATTAAAGGCGATGCGCTATCTAAAAAAAACTGCTGCTTGTGTTTGTTAATACTAGTGATGGGCAAGGGGCAAGATTGGTGATGTAAAATGACATCGACATATCGATGTATCGCGTACCAATTTACCCGCTTAACGCGCTCTTTAAGTGCAATATCACCATATTGCTCATGTATTTGCCCCTCCACTCAACAACTAATTGTTTAAATTAATATTTGTACAACATAATTTTATAAATAAATAGATTATATCGATATATGTATTAACGAAAACAAAAGAACAGCAGCCTGGCAACCCTGCGTCCATAGATAAGGTCGTCATCGGTTATCGCTTCTTAACAATTTGGCTTAACGTGCTTAGACATTTATTAAATTTAGCCCATCACGCAAGCGACGGCGCCAACATGACAACGCCCACGCGCGCCACCCTCGAGAAGGCTCTTAAAAGCGATGCGAAGCTCCAGAAGGAGGCCACACAAATCGCCAAGGGCAAGTGGGCAATTGTCATCTCCGGACGCATCTGTTCTCATCGGAGAGTTTCTTTGTTTTTCCAGATTTGGCCGCTGGCGTATATGACATATCGCAGCTGGCGGAGGAATTGGGCTTTGCCCTGTCCTCGCCAGACATGGAGCAGCGCGTGGCCGGCACCAATTTGTTGTCCGCGGTCCTGTGCGCCCTGCCAACGGACTTGCTCAATGCGGAGCAGCTGGAGTTCCTCACCACCTTCTACACGGACCGACTGCGGGATCACCACAACGTGATGCCAGCGATCATCGATGGTATTGATGCAATGGTTCACATGAAGGCTCTGCCAGCCGGTAATGTTCCACTGATCCTACAGGCCTTCTTCCAGTACACAACCTGCCAGTCGCAGACGCGCGGAGACCGCACCAAGTTGTTCAACATCTTCAAGTACCTGACGCTCACCTTCAAGGAGGGTATGGCACCACCTGATCTACCATCGATTTTCCCCCCGTTTTACACGCCTTTCTCTTGTTTGGCAGAACTCACGACGATGGCCGGGGACTTTGTGTACGGCCTGATCAACTCCATCGATGGGGAGCGCGATCCCCGCAATCTGGAGATCATCTTCAGCTTCATGCCCGAGTTCATGGCCAACTATCCGCTGCTGCACTTGGCCGAGGAAATGTTCGAGATCTTCGCCTGCTACTTCCCCATCGACTTCAATCCCAGCAAGCAGGACCCCACGGCCATCACACGCGACCAGTTGGCCGCCAAACTGACCAACTGTCTGGTCGCCAACGATGAGTTTGCCGAGTGGACGGTCGTGCTGGCCGTGGAGAAGCTAGAGAGCGAGCTGCTGGTGGCCAAACTGGACTCCATTGAGCTGCTGGCAAGCAAACGAAACGACCTCCATGCAACCTTCACAGCTGCTAATTTCTGCCCCCATTTGTATTCCAGCATCAAGCTGCCGTAAAGTTCCCTCCCTCTGTGCTGGAGGCGCACTTCGATCAGATCTGGCAGGCGCTCAAGACCGAAACCTTTCCCGGCGCCGACAACGAAGACATTCTGAAAGCCTCGCTGCAGGCCTTGGGTGCCCTGCTGGAGCGAGCCGCCCATGTGCCCAGCATTAGCCACAGCTATCAGACCTCTGTGCTGGGCGTGGTGTTGCCCCAGCTGAGCGACGTGAACCAGCGGCTCTTCCATCCGGCGACGGCCATTGCGCTGGTGTGCGTGGCCGGAGACGCCCCGTTCGCGGCCGACAAGATCCTGAACAGCTTCCTCCTCAAGCTGCAGGCGACGGATCTGAGTACGTCGCCCCCCGACCAGCGCATCAAGATATACCAGATTGTCGCCCAGGTGTACAAGTTGGCCGCCCTGCGCGAGTCCCTCCAGAAGCTGGACAGCACGATTTGCGTTCCCCTGCAGGACGATGTCATAGCAGCGCTGCGGCTCTGTGAGCGCGAGGACTTCGACGCCAAGCAAGAGGACCTGGAGCTGCAGAAGGCGGCCCTGTCTGTACTTAACGAGTGCGCCCCGGTGCTGAGTGAGGCACAGCGGGCGCTGGTGTACAAGGCGCTGGTGCAGCTAATCAGCCATCCGACCATCGACCTGGACTTCACCGTGCTCACGGTCGGCCTGGGCGCCCTTCAGCCGGTGGAGCTGCAGGCGAACTTCATCGACATTGGCATTCGGAACTTCGAGATCTTCTCGAACTTTATCAAGCGGAAGATATACAGCAACCTGCTGCCGCTGCTCCCCCAAATGGCATTTACCCAACGCATTTTGGATCTGGTCATGACGCAGATGTTCAAAGCCGGCAACCCGGAGCCCGTGCGGCTGTTGGCTCTGCAGGCGCTCAACACGCTGCTCACGCAGGAGGATCAGCGCTTCATTGTGGACCTGCAGCAGCAGTCGAATCTGCTGCACAAGCTCATCGAGCTGGCCCAGCAGACGAAGGACCTGACGCTGCAGTCCCTGGAGCAGATTGCTGGCGCCATGAGCCGCATCATTCAGCAGCTGCCGCTCTCCGAGCAGAGTGCCATCATCAACGAGTATCTGCCGGGGCTCCAGCTGCAGAAGTCGGCGGATCTGTACATCGCCAAGGGACTGCTGGGCTACCTGCACAAGGACATCAGTCTGGACGATCACTTCGAGCGGCTGCTGAGCGATCTCACCGAGCTCTCCCTGAACACCGACAACGAGCAGCTGCGCGTGATTGCCCACCACTTGCTCTGCAGTTTGGTGAACAAAATGGAAAACTCCCCGGCCAACCGGGGGAAGGTGAAGCAGATCACCGAGCAACTGAAGAAGGCCATCAAGTCGGGTGATGTGCGAGCTGTGGAGATCCTTGCCTGGGTGGCCAAGGGTCTGGTGGTGGCCGGTTTCGATGAGGCCGCCGATATTGTGGGAGATGTAAGTGCAAAGAGGAACCTTTAATCAACCAACAACTAATCCCCCCTCTTGTTAGCTGTCGGATCTGCTCAAGCATCCCACTCTGAGCACTGCCGCTGCCTTGGGCTTCGACATCATAGCAGCCGAATATCCCGAGCTGGATCTGCCGGTCGTCAAGTTCCTGTACAAGCAAAAGTTCTTCCACACCATCATGGGCAAAATGGGCAACAAGCTGGCCGACTACTGTGTGCACCATCTGAAGGCGTTTGTCTATGTGCTGAAGGCCACGCCGCAGCCGGTGATCAAGCTGAATATCGAGAAGCTGGGACCGCTGCTCTTCCGGAGCCTCGAGGAGCACAACGAGGCGCAGTCTTTGTGCATTGCGCTGGGCATCTGCGAGAGCTTTGTGCAGCAGCAGGATGCATATTTCCAGGCGCACTTGGGCCATCTCATACCCAGCTGCCTGGAGCTGTCCAAGTACAAGGCCCAGCATACGATGGTGAGTGATCCAACTGCCTGTCGACTTCAGTCTGGACTCAATCTGTCTGTGTGTGCTTTTGTTTACCCCAACCCCAACAGCAAGTGCGGATTGCGGCCCTCCAGCTGCTCTACGACATAACGAAGTATCCGACGTTCGCTCTGCTGCCCCACAAGGTGGACGTGACGCTGGCCCTGGCCGCCGCCCTAGACGATCCGAAGCGTCTGGTGAGGAACACGGCGGTGCAGGCCAGGAACGCCTGGTACCTGGTGGGAGCCGCCAGCGAAGATTAGCCAAGGAACGAACAAATTATTGTTAAATGTTTTAAATCAGAAAAAATTAGAAACCAGAGCACGCACAATCCATAGGATCTACACGAGTTTATTTCCCCATCTCGCAGGCTCTCTCAATATGGATGCTCGCACTGGGAGCGGGCCAGGAGGGCGCATTTCTGGGCCCGTTGCACCACCTCGGGGCAGCGTCGTCGCCGCATGAAGCGGCAGTCCTGGAAGAAGCCCTCGTTACGCGGAAATCCGTGCGTAAAGTCCTGAAAGGTCAGCAGTCCCAGTCCCCAGATCTTGCCGCCTCGGAACTCACCCTCGTACTTCATGCCATCGGCGCGCCAGAAGATGCCACTGCCATGGAACCAGCCCTGATGGAACTCGCCCTCATATCTGGGATGGGCGATGGGATTGCAGGTGTATCGTCGGGATTGGATTATTGATTCGATTCGAGGCACTCACTTGGCTCCATCGGGAAACCAGAGGCAGCCCACGCCCTGGCTGAGGCCCTCCTGGAACTGTCCATCGTAGCGCGTGCCGTCGGCAAACTGCAGATGGCCAACGCCATGCTTCTGGCCAAGCTGATTCCACTCCCCGATGTAGCGACTGGCATCCTCGTACCGCCAGCCGCCCACCTTCACGGCGCCCGCACTGTATTGACTCTGGCCCTGTCCCTGTCCCTGGCCATGTCCGTGTCCGTGTCCGTGCTGGCCCTGATGCTGGTGCTGCTGATGCTGGTTCTCGATGCGTGCCGTGGTCACGCCCACGCTGCTCACTAGAAGGGCAGTTGGGATGGGTTCTGGTACTCTACTGCCTAGTGGACGTCGCGTCCTTCGCTCACTTACTGTCATCGTCGTAGTCGTCCATGGCCATTGCTTCTACCACTGTCCACTCTCCACTTTCCACTGTTCGCGATGCTCGCCGAGCTGCTACTGAGCTTTGCCTGTTCCGCACCAAAAACCAGAGTCTTGTGTGGCTTCCATTGGGGCGCTGGCCCTGGTGGTCTAAATCTAATTAGCATATTGCACGGCTGCACAGTGGGTTGGCACTCTGCGAAATTTATTAGTTATTCAAATGCTCCTGCATCATCTCAAGAAAGAGAATTCTTTGCCACAAAAGTGTAACTGATGGTCTCTCCCAAACGTTGAGATCTTCTTCTATAGAGTGGAGGGCATTCACACAGGCTGAGATTCGATGTTTCATGCTCCATTTCATAGAATCCACAGGTGTCTATTTCTATCAGCTGTAATTTCTGTAGGTGATATCTCAAAGTCTCAAATAGCAGCGAGCGATTCTTCTCCGGAATGAGAATTTTCTTGGCCCACACTGTCCCTTTGTGTAAGAGTCTGCACAGATCGATCTGAGCCGCACGACGACTATCAAATTAAGAATGAGTAGCAAAGAACTCATGAGAAATCTCCATTCGGTGGCTACTTTTATCTTCTGGCTTGCAAAAAGTGCGGGCTAACGCATTACAATCTCATAGATCTCATCTCACATCTCCCGGAGGCTCTGTCCCCCGTGCAAGGGATGCAGTTGGATAGGTTCCATGAGTCTGTGTCGCATCCTGAGTCTATGTGGTGAAGGAACACGGTGGCCAGCTCCTCCCAGAGTGCCCATTGTGGATGATCAGCAGCGAAGTTTGAGCAGCAAAACAAATGGAAGTCCCCCCAAAGCTTACTTTACTCCCTTAAAGTTACCAAAGAAAGTTCTACATTTAATATTAAACAGAATCCCAGTATCTGTTCTCTGGTGATCTTTGACTTCCCATTAGTGCTTGCACCACTGTCCCACACAGCCAACTGTTGCGTGCACCAAGGCTGGACTGGCATCGATTAGGGGGCTATGCCCACCACTACCATTTATCCACCTGAGAGTGAGACATCTGATACTCCGATTGCTCGTACAATTTGTAGTTTAAATTTATTTCAATTATAAGCTGCGTTATGTGAGGCAGGGGATGCTGAATTTCTCGTGAGATTACAGATGCTCGAAATGGTTATACTGTTTACATGCATATTAAATGCGAGATGAAGCTCGTAAGCTAAACTATCTAGACGATTTCCTCGTCGCGTCCGGCGTGGCCTGGTCTGGTCTGGTCTGGTCTGTCGCTGAGCATTGATTGAAACGGAAAGTACACAAAGTAGAAGCTCCAATCCAAGATACACATCTGTCCTGCTTGAAATGGCTCGAATATTAACCTAGATATACATATAGTCACACATGACGGGGGAGGGGTGGTCGTGCTCGCCGTCGGTCGGGGCTTTAGCTTTGGCTTAGGCCAACACGGCGGAGGTGGCCATTTCGCTGACGCCGCAGGTGTTGTCGCCGCGATAGATGCGGTAGTAGCCCTGCTCGCCCCAACGCGGACCCCACGAGTTCTTCACGATCCAATAGGGCAGGGTCTTGTGGAAGTTGGGATAGTCGGAGACGCCATAGCCCACAATGAGCACGCCATGGTCGAGGTTCTTCTTGGAGCACAAGGCCTTCCAGGGATGGGAGACGCCGCCGCGATAGAACTGCATGGCATTGGCATTGAGGCCTGAAAACGGAAAGGGTACGTTCGGTTGATACGTTGGGTTGACGAACACCTCCATTCGATCACTCACCAATCGAGATGGGTCCGTGGGTGAGGAGCCATTCCTGCATGGCCGTTTCGTTGCCCTTGGGCAGATCCACAAATCCAGAGACCTGGACGTGGGAGAGCGTCCTGTTGAAGTGGCACTGCTTCTTCTTGGCCTCATAGGGATACTCGGCCTCGTACTCCAAGCCGCCAATGTCCTCAATCGCCCTAAAGAACACAGAATGAAGGCCAAGTGAGCATCATATACTCTTGTGTAAATCTGTTCCCCGATCCACCAGCCAGCACTTACTTGTAGGCATTGTCCATGAGTCCGCCATTGCAGGCACTGTCTGTGGTGTCACAGTCGAGGAGCTCCTGCTCGGAGAACTCCTTCAGCTCGCCCGTCTTCACGGCATACAGGCCCTCGATGTTGCCAGTCACACTGAAGGCCCAGCAGGAGCCGCAGGAGCCCTGATTCTTCACCTGGGTGACGGCGTTCTTCAGCCTCCAGTCGAACTCCTTGGGGAACTCCCCCTCGTAGGCCGGCACCACGGCTGGGGCCCCGCCAGAGGGCTTCTGCTCGTCGCGCTGCCACAGACCGGTGCGCTCCTTGTACTCCGTGCTGGTCATGTCCGCGAACTCCGTGATGCCGTACTTGGCGCTGCCCATCTCGTTGGCGTTCAGCTCCTCGATGGTCTTCAAATTCTGACGGAAGATGCGCAGCCTCATCTGGCGCTCAGCAGTGTTGTCGTAGCGACGCCCAAAGCGGATCTGGAACTTGTGGAACAGATGGTCCACCTTGTCCAGCGCATGGTGGCTGTGGCTGTGCTTCTTGTGCGTCTTCTTCTCGGCCCACTCCACGGAGCGGCTGTGACGGGCCTGCACCACCTTCTGGTTGCGGCACTTGAAGGTGATGTCGTGTCCGTGCTCCAGCCACGGCTGCGCCCAGATCTCGACGATGCAGCGGTGCTGCCCACCCGTGTTGCCGTCAATGAGGTCCGCATCGATGCGCGTCACAGTGCCCGACAAAACCTGACGCGAGGCCGTGTAGACTTTCACGATTCTGCAACAGATTCGACGGTGGATTTAGTTGCTTGCCCCCCAACCTACGACCTCAATGATTCTCACTTGTAGTGCGGTCCCTCGCCGGCCGTCAGCTTGTCCAGGGTGCGCTGCAGCTGAGCCTCCGCCTGCTTCGCGTCGAAGGGCTTGCTGCCACCCAGGGGCACATCATTCTGGCCGCGTTTGCTTCGCACGAGCTGAAAAGGGCGAAGCAAGAATATGGATTAATATTTGTGAGCTCTAACACCAGCATATACCTGATTCCCCCCTGGAAAAGGTCCCACCCAAGGGTCCAAGGGGACATACTCAACAGAAATGGAAGACAGGAACCCTTAAATGTCGCAATTTTTTCATTTTAAACCTGCCTTTTAATAACAATTAATTTCCGAAACATTTTCATTCAATTATAACACTTATATTTGATCTCAGTTACCGGGTGCTACTGATCGCGGGAGATATCAGATCAGAAGCCGCACTCAAAGGGCACTATGTAATCGTCCAGAATGCGCACTGTGCGCAGCTTTCCCTCGGTATCGACGCCCACTTGGCCCACCATCGCCTGGGAGGCAGCCTCTGCCTCGGGTTCATTGTCCTCCGTCGATGGTCCCTCCCGGCGACGCACCACCATCATGCCAGCGGCGGCCGCTGCCTCGTGGCGCAACCATCCGGCCATTATCCAAATCTGACGAATGCGTGCCATCAAGGGGGAAGGCTTCATCTTGCGTTATATTTTTCTGCTTTTAATGGATAAAGTATCTACAGCTAGGGGCTGGAGGAACTGCTTCCTATACGCACCGTTGATATATTTTGGTGTAAAGTATTTGCTAGTTTCTAGAACTCTTCCCGTGTCTAACGTTTCTATGTGACTGAATTTTGAATAGAGCCTCGTATGAAACTACACACAAGAGTGACTGATTTCTCATTCACTTCTGATGTTGTCTACGTTTCCAGGACTGGGGTTTACTGGGCATTTTTGTATGGGTTTGTGAAGAGTATGCTGTCAGAATGTGATCTAGTAGGTTACAGAAGATATACATCGATCCAATGACGTGCAGCTAAGACATTCCCTTGACAATTCCTCTATCGATTGCCCATGCCCATTCCTTATCCGAGGAAATTCATGCAGTGAGAGCGAGAGCTAGTTTGATTTGTTTGGTTACTCGATCTGGAGGCTGAAACTGTCGATTGCTTTGCAGTTATAAGTTGGCTAATCTGTAAGCTGATGGGCATCGCTTTGCCACGGTTCTTTGACTGATAGCCCGAAGACGTGTCTTGAGACGGGCTATTGCGTTATTTAGTCTTTTGCCTCAAGGCTAGAGCAGCTCCATGACGGAGGCTCATCGCTGCTCAGCCTGCCCAATTAAAGCACAAGAAACCAGTACGGATAACATTCATAGTTCTGCGGGGAATAGATTTATGCTGTCCATTGGGGCATGGCATCCATCATGCTGAATGAGCTAGAAAAACATCTAAAAGGCATCCAACAGATGCAAGTATAAGCAGCTAAAGAGCACGCCACCGTACTCGCTTGTATTAGACATATTGTTCCTTAGAGCTCGTTAATCCTCTTGCTAATTAACCGAAATAGACATTTGTACTTATCCGCTGCAAGGAGACTGACAGAGAGACAGAGAGACACACACAGCTGTCGCCACATCAATCCTGTGACTGATGAAGAATCCTTGATGGAGATGGAAGATGGAATGTGAATGGGAATGCGAACCAGAATGCGGAACCTGGCACATAAATTACATATAAATGCAAATGAAACAAAGACAAGTCGGAATTTACATTACCAAAATTGACAGAAAGACACACACGGAGGCACATACGACACACACGCATGCCGGAAAACTTGCACCAAAGAAAACCCTACCACCACCAGCCAAAAAGCCAGATCCCTCCCAGATCCCAACAACAACAACAGAGTGGAAGACACATGCGGCACGGCACATAAACCATTCAATGCCGAACACAAAACCAATTAAACCAAACATTTTGGCTGGAAATTCGTTTGCCTCTTGGCATCGATGATGGCGATGCTGATGCTGATGCTGTTCTGCTCCTGCTGCTGCTCCTTCCCTTGATGCCCCTGACGATGGGTTCGGGGTGCGGGATTTTGGGGTTCGGTTCTGCTGATGATTCTCGCTGTGCCGAAGAGGAGCCCCAAAATGTCTGATGATACTGCCGCTGCTCTGGCTCTGCTGCCTCTGCTGCCGTTGGCAGGTAACTGACAGGGCAGGAGGAGTAGAGTGGAAGTTGGACCGATGGCAGGGCATGAGAAGAGGAGTCGTTGGACCAGGACAGGTCACCTCCCAGCGGCAGATGGGCAGATGGGCAGATGGGACAAGCGACAACAATGCCGGCGAATGAAATGTAATGGCTCCGACGTGTGTATAATTAAAAATACAGCAGGGAGGAAGGAAAAAACAAGCGAAAGAGCAACGACGGAACAATGTTTCGATGGGATTGCCAGTACAGACAGACAGGCAGGCCTGTACAGGGCTCTACAGCCTGTCCGAACATGAATTCATTAAGCATCCCTCCCCTCACCACCCCCACCCATCCATAGATCCTACCACAACTGTCCCCATGTCCCCATTCCCCCAGTCGCTGTCGCTGTCGCAGTCCCTGGCTCAACCCCAACGCCACCGCTGAGCTGTTAATTCAAATGAGTATTTCAATAAGAATTATAACGTAAATGATGTTTCAACGAGCCCCGAGGGCGGCGCAACAGTGGGGCCAGATGGGTGCACCACCGTATCGTGCAGATGGGCGATGTGTGCAATGGCCCGTAAAATCCATTCGGTTGAAAGTACTCTCCGGTACGGAACGGTATGATACGTTGCATGTACATATGTACATATCGTACATACATATATCGTACATATATCGACACATATCGACAGTCAAGTGTGGAAACGATTCTACAGTTTCTGACAGTTGCCGCAAATCAGCGAAATCAATGGGAATGGGAATTGTTTTCGTTTTCCATTCATTTGTTCCATTTTATTGTATTTTGGAATCGCATTTAGATCTCTCTTGGGGCACTTAATTGAACAACAGATTTCGTGGAAATGATTAGGGAACTCATTCATTAAATCAGCACACATTATGGATACATATTTATATCTGCCTGCTCCATAGATACATATCTATTACTTACTACATATTATGTTGAATATTTTAGATGATTTAAAATAGGTTTTTTTGTGTACCATATTTAATCTTAAGTCTTCTGCTTTATTGTAAAGAAATCGGTTAGTTAGGCTGAGCATTTGAAGGCTGATTTCAGCTGTAATCACATAATTTAAATATTCATGCCCCATACTTTTCAATGGTATTAGTATTCTTGTTTCTAACGATCCCATAGGATTAAGATATCTTTTATTATATTCTAAAGAAAAACAATAGCTAAAAAGTGCTTTGGTTTTGTACTCAAAGAGAAATATCACCGTATATTGAACTCTGTAATAGAGGAGCTCTATAATTTCCTACGATCTCTGAGTAATTAAGAAGAAACTATAGCTTCGAAGTTTGATATCTCAGCTTTAATACCATCGTTAGCTCTACCAATCGTATTCTCTGCCATTTCATCAATATCTTAGTATCTCCCGATCTCTTGGGAGTATTTATTCCTCAAGTAAATGTTCCCTCTCCACTTTCCACTCTCCATCGATCTTTCTACCACTGTGCACTGTCTTCTGCGGCGGAGAGTCAACCGCTGTAAAAAGTAGAGCACAAGGATAATGAGAACACTTGCTTCGCACTCACGTGTTCAGTGTGTGTGTGTGTGGGTGTAGGTTTCTTCTCTCTCTCTCTCTCTCTCTCTCACGACACCACAGGCGCCGACACTTGCACACACACACACATACAGATACAGCAAACCACTTAACCTCTCATATATAACGGTACTTGCCAAGGGCCCCACCCCCCCAACTGCTAAGCTTCTCTCTCCCACTGCCACTGCCACTCCCCCTCCCACTCCCCCACGAGAAATATAGACAGGTGGATGGAAGATGCTCTCTCTTTCGCTCTCGCTCCCCTCCTGAGAGGCTGCCACCCACCTCCCTTCCCTCCAGGGTTTAAACAGATTGCGGCCGTAATTTGAAAGCGGAAACTCATTTGATTATTAAGGTGAAATAAGTGTTGTGGGGGGCAGAGGGGGATGCTCAACCCTACCCTACATCCTCCCAGCACCCTCCCTTCTACACCCCCTGGACATGAACATGGACAGCTGGTGGGGCAGGTGTGGCAGGCGTGTGTGCAAAAGGCAAAGCTTAAATAAATTCAATTAAATAACATTTTCTCTTTTTATTGTTCGTATTTGGGTTGAGTGTTTTGTATAAAGACTATTTATGTATGTATGTATGTGTGTGTGGGGGGAGAAAACAGAGAACGACAGAAGGATGCCTAGGGGAGGTGGTGGATGGTAGGGTGTTGTGTGGGCTGCATGTGTGTCAGTGTCTGTGTCTGTTTTGATGATAATATAATATTCATGATGCTGAAGATGGTATAATAGTGGTAGCCTCCTCCTCAATGGTCTCCTCCGCCTCCTCCTCCTGCCTGTGCTGCTCCTCTTGTTCCTGCTGTTCCTGCTGTTCCTGCTGCTGGCTGTCCTCCTTCTGCTGCTTCTGAATGGTCTTTTCAAAATTATACGCACCCACCGATAGGATATCGTCGAGCCAACGTTTCTCATTATCGTTGAGCTCACTGGTGGCAGGTGGCGTCGTTGTGCCATCCACCAGCACCTCCTCCTCCTCCTGCTGCTGCTGCTGCGCCGCCACTCCATCATTTGCCGCACTCCCGGGGGGAGTCTGTTCGGTGTTCGGTGTGGCTGCTGTTGTTGCTGCTGCCTCATCAATGCTAATTGCCGTTGTGGCCTCATTAGTGGGCCCCAGTAGGCCTGGTGGCGTTGGCTTCCAATCGGAGACTGTTATGGTGACCAAGAGAGCAGGAGCAGCAGGAGCAGGATCACCAGCCAGAGGCGAGGCAGAAGTGGGAGCAGCTGCAGGGCCGGCCCCAGATTTATTCAGGCTGACTTTTCGCTTCATTGGGCCCACGCCCGTGAGTATTTGGGCCTCCAGATTGGCCATTTCGGAGTCACTCAGCTCGTTCCGCTGCCCGCCATTGAAGATGCTGTTACTCACATATTTCTCATTCAGCAGCCGGGCCCGCTCCGCCGGATCCTCCGAGGAGAGGGAGTTCTCCGCCGAATCCGTGCAATTGGAGTTGACCAGCTCCCGGTGCTTGTCCCCCCACTGGGTGCGCAGCCAGGGCTTCTCGAGGATAACCAGGCGGCAGATGGTGTCCGCGTTCTCCGCCTTCGTGTCCACGGCATTCAGCAGGATCTCGTAGCGCACGCCGCTGGTGATCTCCCGAAAGGCGTCGACAATGTTGATGAAGTTCATTGAGAGCGGCAGGAAGCTCATGGCAATATTCTGCACGCCAATCAGATTGGGCGACAGATACTCCCGCTCCCCGGGATTCAGAACATGCACCAACTTGATCGGTGGCTCGCTCACGCCCTCCGCCTCTGTGGTTGTCTCTGTCGGTGGGGGGGATTCGGCGCCAGCTTCGGCTGCTGTGGCGGTTCCCTGGCTCTGATTTTGTATTTTTTGTGGAATGTTTGGTTGTTGGGTGTTGGGGGAGGGAAAGACAAAACAGAAAGCAAAACACATATAAGGATACACACAGAAAACAGAGAGAGAGAGAGAGATCTTTTTGGCCAGAAGCATGGATCATTCGGGGGGGTTAAAGTGTGTGGTGTGTATGTGTGTGTGGGATGGGATGGGGGTGAGGCAAGCCGTGTGGATGGTATGTGGTATGTGCTGTGCAGATAAGCTCTAAAATAAGATCTACAATAACGAAGAACCATTCAAATACCATTCTCTGGTCTATACAAGTATCCATTCACTTATGGGAAACTTGTGCAGCGTATTATGTAAATTTTCATTTAATTTCGTTCATTTGCAAGCTGCCGAACCATCACTTAATTCGATATCCGTTAAACACAAATTTAATCCAATAAAACCGCCTTTAAATAATCCCATTTGACCTGCTTTAGCATCCTGTCTAACACCCTGTGCCATCACCATTCCATTCCTTCACTGATTTAAAATTCAGAAAAGCCCACACAGAGGTGAGCCTCCCCATTTGTAGGCAGATTTAAGGTTAATTATAAATGACTGCACTGCAGAAACATTGTTAATCGCCTCTCCCCCCACACACCTGCTCTCTCTGCGCTCTCTGTGCTCTGTTTGTGTGGCCCAAGGGGCATAAGAGCCAGAGGCCTAACGCCTAATGAACTCGGCATAATTGCAGCTGCAATTGCGGTCAAATGCTGTGGCAACGGAATGGGGGGGACATCATCTGGCGTTGGCGATGGCGATGGTGACCAATCAACTCAATCACTGGCCCAACGCTTCACTGGGTCTTCGGTTAAGCCACAAAAACTAATTAACCGCCGCTCCCAAGTCCGAAACTGAATCGAATCGAATCCAATCGATGCGAACCGGTTCTCTGGGCTCTCACTGGGATGATGTCAAGCCAGAAATTCATCGATAAATGATGAGGCGGCGCACATGATGCAAAAAGCCGATGACAGCCAGAAATCGTACTCGCAGATGGATTGACTGACAGGGGGCGAACTCAACTGCAGACAGATTTTGCTGAATAATTTAAATATCGAAATCACAAAAAGGCTGCCAACTAAAGCTATAGCTGACGATGTGGATGCCACTACTGCAAGTTGCGAGTTGCAACTGCAGCTGCTGTTTCTGCTTGTGTTTCTCTCACAAAGCTGATGCATTGCCTTTGACAGTTCGGCGGATATAATTGATATTTCGACTGAAGGATACCCGCTAATCGGATATATATTCCATGAGAAAGAAGTAGGAGATCATATGGGTACAATTCAAGTGTCAGGATTTATCCAATCTGTAATCCATAATCTATAATCTAGAACCCAATTATATTATGCATTTATTTCCCTTCTCTGGCTGTAATTCTTACCCGATAAAGATGATTCTTTGTGTATTTATACCAGAGCTGTTGTACATTTTGCAAGAATGGAACCCCTGTAGTTTCCTAGATCAGAATATAAAAGAAAGAAGCCTTCTATTCCGTCACATATGAATATGTAGCTACAGCTCATCAATATAACCCATTTAATAGGTATTTAAACTGAAAAACTGAAGTAGAGAAGCAGAGAAGCACCACCAAACAGCAGACAGTAGACAGTAGACAGTAGAGAAACGGGCATCCTCTGCAGAGTGGAGGGGGGCCTGGCCATGAGTCTCACTGTCTTAACGTCTTGTTGACGTTTCGGTCGTTCATCCTCATTGCCGTTGACGCGGTGACAAAAAGCCGAAAAATGCATAAAAACTTTTGACAGCGGTTGTTGCGTCACTGCCTGCAGTCGACGTTGATGGCTGATGGCTGGTTGCTGGTTGCTGGTTGCTGCCACTGGATGATGTTGAATGCTTCTGCTTGATGCTCTGAAGCTGATTATGTTGAGTGGGTGGGTGGTGGTGGTGGTGGTGGTATTCGGAGATTCGTTCATGGTTTCGGTATTTCGGTCGTTCTGGGGGCCGTTGCCTTATTTTTCAATTAAACTTTATGGCATTTTAAGCAACAACAGCAACAGAAACAGCCAGAACTCATGCCATGCCCATGATGGGATTTTAAGTTCTTCAGGACTCGATTGCTTCGCTGCTGTTCGCTTCTGTTCGCTTCACTTCGCTTCGGTTTGGGTTAAGGCTTCACTCTGCCATCCAGTTATGCTCATGTTGATGTTCAGTTTAACCCCCCCACCCCCCACGTTTTGTTGTCCTGGCAACTTTAATGCAAAAGTGCAACCAATTTGATGCAATACCCATCCCACGCCATCCCCCATTTCCCATCGTTGCATCGTTTTAATACACTTCTCTCCTCGCCAGAGGAGGGGCCAGGGCCAGGGCATGCCATTAGAAATTGATACTATACTCCTTCTTCTGGGAATCTTCGGGTTATTAAGTCAGTAACTTGAGTTGCGGTGAGGTGAGGCGGCTGAAACGTGTTGATTATATTCAAACTTCTTAATGGAATACATTCTCCATGCCATGCCCTGTCTGTGGTAATTGCATAAGCAGCTTAAGCTTATTCCGAAGATTCTTTGCAGTTCAAGGCAAGTTATGAATTGCTTAGCTCACAGCTCTTGTGTCTGAAGGAGGCACATTTGAGGCACAATTCCAAATGAAATTCCCTTTCCATTTCGGTTACATTCATCATACATATAGCAATAACCAACGCAACGTTAATATTTTCATTTAATTCTGTTTGTTTTTAATCAAAATATTTCATATTCATTTGGTTGATTCGAGCTCTTAGTCAAACATTTCTGCCATTTTCTGCCCCAGAGAATGTTTCGGGGTTCAACAAAAATTTGCCAAAATATTTATTACATTTTGTGGTTAATACTCGTGTGGGAGTTACGAGCTTGTTTGCATTTGATGGGAGTTTAAATTAAAGAAAACCAACACCGATTTTGGTAATGGTAAAACCCCAAGAAGTCAATGATGATGGAGGTTGAGTTGATTTAATTTAGGGCATGCAAATATTTACTGAGAACTATCTGTAAATAATGGAAGGTTGGTCAAGTAAGACAGTTCCATTGGTGGGTCCCACTCCCTTGCTTGTTGTTTGACAGTTCTTTCAGACGGATTGGATCTCCACTTCTGGATTGACATGTGCTTTACAAGAGTGCTTTTCCCTTCATCTCTTTTTCCACTTTATGAATCCCCTTGTTTATGTTACTTTTCAACACTTATTCCCCCGCGGCCAATCGACAGCGTAATCCGCCAGATATCCATAATCCCCGCTTACATACATACATGCATAAATACATATGTAGTATGTGGATCCACTCTCCCCATTCATATGGTCAGTGTAAACACCGCCGGCTGTTGTTTGCCAGTGTAAACGCTCGCACACACACTCGCACGCTGCACCACAGCCGAAAAAATACACAAGTGGGAGAGAGTGAGCGCATTAAGCCGTACAGTACAGATTGCAGTGTTGGAAAACTTTAATTGAATCAACACAAACATCAACGAGCAGGCGTCGCGTCGCCGTTGCACCTCTGCCACTGCGCTGGCCCCAAACTGTGAAATTGGCAATTTGGCTTCTGTTGTTTTTAATTAAAGTTTAATTAAAGCGATTGGCAGGCAGGCAGTCAGCAACCAGGCAGACAGGCAGGGCAGACATCCTCATAGTGCAAATAAATGCAGCACCATTCAGCAGCCCGGCCAGGCCAGGCCAGCATCATCAAGAGACTGCGGTAATATTCTCTCTTTGGTGACTTAATGTTTTTTATGTTTTATTCTGTTTTCACGCAGCTCTTAATTAACATTTTGAAATCCACTTACGCATGACCTGCCCCCAGCCCCAACCCCAGGCACTCGGTCGCATCTCCCAGACTCAGCCACAGCCACAGGCCTCAGATATAAATTTATTCATTAGTGGAAAACCGGTATCATATCTGTCAGAGATAGTTTTAGTGTCTGTCTCCCCACATCAGAGTCTCTTGGCTGAGTCTCAATCTCAATCTGAATCTGAATCTGAGCTACGTTGTTGTGCAACACACACACACAAACACACAACACACTCGAGGCTCGGCTCCAAGGTCAAGATGCTTCCCTCCTTGGGCGTTTGATGAGGTGCGCACGTTTCAGGCGTGTTTTTTGTGTTAATAAAGACATTAACCTTGGGTTCTGGAGGGGCGGGGGGGGAGCGCGCTTTCTTTGGACACCTGCTGTGCAGGTGGGTTCTCATTTTAAAGTGAATTTTTTGTCTGACAAGGGTTTTTGCTTTGTGTCTTATGGTAGGGCATGGTTTATGGTTTATCATGTTGATTTCTTCATAAAAAACAGCTTAGGACCCGCTTGTCAGGTGGCTTTTTTCTAGTTTAACTTCATTTCCACTCTAGTTTCGTCTGCTTTGGGCCAAGTTTTAGCGGAGCTTTCAGACTTGTTCCCAATTTAATTTGCATAGAAATTTGATAACTTTTGGGCCTTCGTTTTTCATGTGGGAAGCACCTCACGCATCGTTGCCCACCCACTTTCAGATTCATTTACAACCTGCAGTTTATTTGCAGATTTGTGGCACTTCGTATTCATATTTCTGCAATTGAAATTCAGAAATTCCTCGCACGCTCATCGCCAACATCTTTGGAATGATATTGGCTTTGTTCCCCTCTCGCTCGATGTTATCGTAATATGTACCTGAAGTTGTGGGACACAGCAGGGGCTGCTGTTGCCATGACAATCTCCCCACAAAACCACTTGTACTCTATATACATACATACAATATCCTCCTCCACAACCTCTGGCTCATAGTTTTAACCTTATGCATTAGCCAAAGACCCCCATCCCCATCAGCCCCCATCTACCCATCTGCCTGCTTAAATTTCCAATCAGAGTATGGAGACACACGCACTCACAGCCAGATGAGGTCCCATATCTCGGCTGTCGGTTCTCCTCTCTCGATTGTCGGGGCCAAGCTCATTATAAACTTTACCTCCACTGCTCCCCTGGGTGCTAATTTGTGCTCTGTGGGGGGGCTCGCACTGTGGGGGGCTGGGGGTTGATTGGATCCGGGTGTCTTGGGTTGACTGGACCGTTTAGTGGGAGACGAGACGCAATGCCGTAATTTCCTTTAGCATTTCTATTAGGCGGCAAATCATGCACAAAATTATACAAAGGATATGGCCGGCAGTCAAATGGGATGAGGAGATATCTGTACCGATATCTATAGATGGATACGGCTGGACGATGGACTCCCACATAGACTGTTCAAGTCAGCAAAATCGTGGCACTAAATTTGCATAAATCCAAAATCCAAAAGAGACCGAAAGAAGCTTTCGCATTTAAAAATTGCCGACAATTTGCTGGCAAAGACATCGATGGATTCCGGCTCCTCCTTCGATTCCTCCTTTTGTTTTCTTTTCGTTGGTTTTCTGAATCATCCCATTTGATTTCCTAAATGACAGTCATAAACCGCCCCAAGACTCCATCTCCACACTCCACACTCCACTCCCATGACCATTTCCATTCCTTTGAGATATTTGTGAGACAATAGTGGCTCGTAATTTGGCAGCCAGTTTGGTGCGAATCTTCGCCGCTGACTTGACTGAATGAATATTTATACGAGTGTGTGCTATGCACATATATTATACTGTATTATATGTGCATATAACTAAGTATGTATCCCGTACACATACATATGTACATATGTATCCATCGTTGTTCGTAGTAGTTCCGCAATAATATTCATTTATGCAAATTTTTTTTTTGCCATGCATTCTTCCTAGTCTCTGGGGGGCTTTTAGTGTGCGTTCCAAACGTTTCTTTTTGTACCCTTTAATCCGAAAAGCAATAGGTGTATCTGTTGGATATCCAACAGGCGCTAAATCATCATGAGAAGTGCTCTTTGGCAACACATCAACGAACCAAGCTTGGCAGTCTACAGAACAAGTTCTGAACAGAAATATATATTTTTCCCTTTCAAGCTTAAGTATTACAAATGAAATATAGTTAGAGAACCTACAAGAGAATCTCTGGATATATGTATATATATATATATAAATATGCTTTTGGCCCTTCAACGGCAAAATATATCATGCCATTACTTTAACTGATTTATCATTAGTGGGCGCAAAATAAATACTTTTACACTAAGATTAGAACTATGATATTATTTCAAGGAATACCTTAAGTGACATATCGTTAACGTAAAAGAGTGTTCAATTCAGCCCATATATGGGTTTCATTCTTTAAAGCGATCCAAGTAATGGATACCTTGCAGGTCGCAACCATCCATTACTGCATTTTAACTAGATTTATTTAAACTTATTTTTATTTCCATTGAGGCATGCGTCAAATTAAAATTCTACATTTGGAATGCGCGTGGTAAATAATTCGAAATGCTCTCCATCCGCCCCTTGTCCTACGTCCCACACCCTCACTTTCCCACTTCCCCAGTGAGGGTGTCGGGGGTCCTCGGGCCACCCCTTCGTGGCCTCAACCACACGTTGAACCCTTTTTACGCTATATTTAATTATTTGCATATACAAATATTTTCGTATGATGAATGCTGTGTGATTTTTTTCTCAGTCGGTTTTTGCCCTGCTGCCGCCAGCCGGAAATTTAATTGATATTGATGACGTTGCTCGCAGCCTGTGCCTGGTGTCCAGCCGGCACCGCCAGAGTGCGGCAGGAGTCGGAGTAAGAGTGGAGGCCCATCAAGCCGTATTCCCCCAGTCATTAATCTAGCACATTACTTTGTGGAATTGGGGGTATCGGATCAGAAACAGAAATTTAATTTATTTAAATTGAAATCTGTTCCCTTCTCTGACTCATTGAAGAGTTCAATCATCGTTTGAAAATCTGTTCACGTTCAGTCGATGGTGTTTGTGTGTGTGTGCATACACATATAGACTCGTCGCATTGTATCTAAAGATTTCTGAGAATTATATTCGGATATATTTGTTTTAGTTGATATCATCAATTATGGAATCCATTTTGAGTTATTGTGTCACATCGGAGGATGCTCTTTCAAAGGTAATACAACGTACATATATGTACATGTATGTAGAATTATTAAACTCAATTTTAAGTTTAATATCAAACATCTATCTCACGTTATAGTGAATTCACGTGGAAAACAAGCCATTTGTTTAACTTAAAATATCCCCAACTCAGCAAAAAAGTTCTCAAGATGTATCCAGATATGAGATATAATGAAAACAACAAAATTTCCCTTGGGACAACACATTTTAGAGGCAAAAATTAAGTCGCAGTTTTGCCCCATGGAATCGCAAGTCGCCTGGAATCGAAAAATTCAGCGCACACAAAGGAATTCTAATCAGTCTCAAAAGTGTAAAAAAGAGCCCCGCCGATCAGGAATAAAATTATACGAAAATAGCGTCAGATCAAATGGGTTCTATCGGTCAAACTGATAAGCAAACAGCTGTCTGCCATGGATCTACCATAGAACAAACAGAGTCCAAAGCAGACGCTCGAAAGAAAGCCCCTTCCCGACTTGATAAGCGAACAAGAAAGAGACGAAAAGTGCCCGCTAATCAACGGTAATAACAAAGAGAGCAAATAATAGGCATGTGAATATGGCGCATATATGTGCAAGGTATAGTTGCTACAAGGTGAGCAATCTCGTCTAGTTATCTATTTCCGCAATCACTCTTTGTGTGCTATTGGCATGCACTTAAACAAAACAGTCACATTTGTGGGAACGGGCTCCTAGAAAGCATTACCTTATAATGGTACACCTTGCAAATGTATGTATGTATGTTTCTTTGTGTGGGGTATGTATTGCATATGTGTGTGTGTGGTAACAAAGCAAGCAGAGTGAACAATAACTGTAAATAGCTAATTTGTCTTAATATTAAACCGTTATGCCCGTCAATGTATCCCCCGTTAGAAGCTTTAGGCACTCGGGAAGAAGTTATTGACTTATATCGTTATTGGTCTTCACGAAAAGCGTTAAATGTCGCAATTTTCGCGCTGCTGAATCATAACAAAACACGCACACACACTCACCTCAGCAATCCCCTCCTCCTCGTCCATCAGCTCCACACCAGCTGCTTGGCTAAAGAGCAAAAAGAGCGCAACTGTTGCTGCGGCGTACAGCCTCATCTTGCTGCTGCTGTTGCTTTTAATTGTTTGGAAAAATGTTGATGATTTCGTCTTGGCACCTATGACGTTTGTGCAAAAGTTTCACACGTAATGCAGGTAAAATCGTATGTTGGCGGAAATACGCCGCTTCAAAATTGTTTTCTTTTTCCGCGAGCAACGAAACGAAAGTCGACGCGACCAAGCAAACGAACGGGAAAAATGTTTTTGAATTTGTTTTGTTTGCAAGGTATGAGGTGTGACGTATGACGTCACAAAATTCAGAGCTTTCAAGAAAAATACCCACCTCACCACATAACTCAGCGTGCGGGATTTTGTGCTTTCGCGCACACACGTCATGTTTAGTCCTCCCGGGCCAGGATGAGGTCCTTACGAGGCCCTTAAAAAAAGTTCGGCCGTTTTAATACTGGGGCCATACCTTGCCATGACCCAGTTGAAAGAGAGCACTCACCCCGCTCTCCCGACTCATTTTTGCGCTAGAGGTGTCAAACCATCGAGGGCACTATCGATAGTATCGATATTTTACTGCTAGCCTCTACTATCGACGGTTTTGCGACTATCATGATAGTATCGAGCTACAGTCGTTGCGCTTTTGATATGTTTGGATTGGCTGCTCTAAAATACGAAGACACATTTGTAAACAAATCGACAGGTGGCATCTAATACATTTGAATTCCATTTTCTTGTTTTACATGACATAGGCCGAATACCCATGCTGTTCAATGAAATAGCAGTGTTTTTTTAGAATATTGAAAAAAAAAAACAAGAAACTCAAATAAAAACATATATTTCATGTTCTTCATGTTTCTTGAGCTTTAATATTTAGTTTTTAATCAATTTGGTTTTCATTGCGAACTTACACCGGCCGAACATGGGTCATTAATCTCTTGCCAACGCCTCAATAGGATTTGAACCAACACTCCTTGAACCACTTGCTAAAACTTGGCTCTGGGTTCACGGATTTACAGTTGCAACAACGTATTTGGTATTCCAGCATAAGATTTCGATGAGGTTAATATCCAGTTGGACAGTTGGCCATGGCAAAATGTCGATCTTTCCGATAAAAATCAATTCCTAGCGAGCTTTTCTGGGTGTTTAAAGTCATTATCCGGTTAAAAGATCTTTTTAACAGAAATTTCCAACTGTGATATAAATTTTATATATTCTAAAATATACATACCAACATGTATGTTTCACTCAATACCATACTATACTCAAACGCCAGGCTAGAAAGTACTAGCTCATATGAGCTGGACCCCATAAGGCTCAGCCTAGCATGCCCAATGCTAATTTTTTCATGATTTTAAGAGGTAATCGGATTTCTATGTATGCCAAACCTAGAAGAATTCTTATAGTTAATTGGGTTGAATTCAATAGTGAGAGTGCATACAACTTAGTTTTCAATCCAATTCTACTTCCGGCCTTAAGTTTTTAGCCTAACTCTTAGGTATCCTCTTCTGGACCTGGATTATTATTATTCTGGATTATTCGATATCTGAATTGAGCTTACGGATGGTGGCTTATTTAAATTAATTTGCTTTGTTTTTTCATTTTAAAAAATTAATTTAATCCAGCACTGCTATTTCAATGAACAGCAGATAAAATGGGTTGTTGTCCAAAATCATGAAAAACAAGAAGATGGAACGAAAATGTAACGGGGTTTCTTCGAGTTTCTAATGCTAACATTCCAAGCTTTTCGTAATGATATCACTTGTTCAATTTGAAGGACAAGAAATATCTCAAAAAGAGTTTTGAAAGTAGTGGGGTGCGGCACTCCTATTTCATTGAACACAGCTGTACATAAATTTTGTTCAGGATCGGCTTGTTTTCAGAACTCTTTGTCATTGGATTGTTTACATAATAAGGCTCAAACAAAAACGGCCAAAGCATAAAACGTAAATGTTGACTAAATGTGTCGTCAGTGTTGCTGGTCAACCAAGTTTGTTCTATACGTATGGACTTTTGTATATAATAATTTCCTTTAATTGATGTTAAATTTGTTGTTCCAAGCTCCATTGAAACATTAATTATGTTTTTCTGTTCCTATCGTGGTCTTACCCGGCCATATTGGTACCCGCGAGCTGCAAAATCGTTAATACTTGGGGCGCAGCGACCCCGGCAGATTGTTGCTCATTCCGTGCCAAAGTTGCACCCCCATGTTGCTGAAATTAGTAACCAGTAAAAATCAACAACAAAAAAATTAATAATTAATAATTATTTGAGCCCGATACTATCACGATAGTATCGATTGTTTTTTTTTTCAAAACATTCAAAACTATCGATGGCTCAACTATCAATCGTTTTACAAACTGCTCCAAAACAGTGCTGAAACTTGAACCGAAACTCGAACCGAAACTTGGGGCTATTTGGATCCCAGCCAGCCATCGTGACCATCTCACCCTCAGAAATATACCGTCTCATGTTTGAAATATACCGTAAATACCGTAACCAGGACCAAACGCAGTTATGAGCTCAGACAAAAATTAAGTTGTTTCTCAAATACTTATATTGCTGATAAAAATTTTATAGAGGAATTGATTATGATCACGTTAAACTACTACAAAAAGGGCACAATTTTTACTTGATGATATCGATAGACTCGCTGGGCGGGAATTTCAAAGTTGAATAATAATTTGAAAATAACTCAAAACTTATGTGAAGTAAATGGATATAAAATATAGCTTTAACATTAAGTGGAACAACTAAGGCCACTCTGGCGACTGCGTAGACTGTGCGTCCCGACTGTGCGTGACCTGGCGAATGGATCGCCCAAAACGGAAATGCACAAAAACAAACGCCACGGAGGTAACCGCTGGCAACAATGCCACCAAACGGTCGTTCCACAATATTGATAAAGCGCCTTTGCCACTATTTTTCACACATTCCGTCCTCCAGCATGAGCACGCACTCGGGTCGAGCGTATCTTAATTCCTGTCTCAAAGTGCCCATAGATCCGTGCAACAACTGCCCGGCTCCGGTCTACAATCGTCCGAAGCTCTGTCTGGGCAAGAAGCAGGCGGGCAGGACGGGACGTGCCAAAAGCACTGCCTCTATGGAGGCGGAGACACCTGGATGGACCACCCAGACGGGGATCCGATCTCTGGCCAAGTTCTACGACAGTATACCTGGTGAGTGGTGGTTCTGAGAGGGTCGGGTCCCATTTGTGGTGACTTAACTCGCGAGTCCTCTTCCAGACTACTGTGATGTGAAGCACATGCACCAGGAGGAGTTCTACTCGACGCTGGAGAGCCTGCGCAGCACCAGCCGTGAGCTAAGAGCCCAGCCAGGGGCCGTGCAGGCGCCTGCGGAGCGTTGTGCCAGTGCCAGCAGCAGCTCCTTGGGAAAGTCAAAGAAACGCGCGGGCAAGGGGAAAAAGAAGAGACCTCCGCTGGTGCTGGATCCAGCTCCCGCCTCAGTGCCAGCCACGTCCACACCACTGAGAGCTACACCACATAGCGGCCATGCCATTCGCTGCTCCACGGCCGCAGTAGTCATCACTCCCGGCTCCAGTGGCCTGAGCGAGGAGTACGACAAGTGCCTGAGGGATCTGAGTCGCTTGAGAAGCTTCAAGGAGGACTACGCCGTGGAGGTGGCCGACTTCAAGCGTTCCCTGAAGAGCTTTGAAGAGGAATTCAAGCGGCCGAAGACCACCAGCAGCAGTGGCACACAGACGGCACACAAGCCGCATCCAACGGGTCCGCCTGGTGGCCACACGGCTGAGCGAGCCAAGTGTCGCCGGGAGATGCTGCGCCGATGCTTCAGCGTCAACGATCTGGGTGGGATTCCGCCGCACGCGAGTCTCACAGCACCCAAGGCTGGCCAGCCAAAGCTGAGCAAGTACTTCCTACAGAAGGCTGAGGACGAGGAGCTGCCCAAGATTCAGGTAGAGTCGCCATCCGTGTCTTCCAAGCGCAGCAGCAGTGCGTCCGTCTCTGGGCGAGGACGCGGTCGTCGTGGCAGGGGACGGAAGCCAAAGACTACAGCGATGCAACCAAAATCGGAGGACACCTCCGCCCGGCCGCCTTTAAGAATCTTCGAGCTGGAGGAGGATGTGCCAAAGCGGACGCCCAGCGTGTCCCCCCTGCATCCGGTGGCGCGTCCCAATCTGGCAGCCACTCTGCGTGCCGAAGTGTCCCGGAAGAAGGTCAAGGAGCTGAAGAACAACTGCACCTACCACGATCCCAGGCCCCAGTTCGATTGGGAGGTTCGCAAGACGCCCGCCTGGAAGTCCCTGTCGCTCAAGTGAGTATATAGGGTCCCACGAGGATCTCAAGGCTCGTTTAACCCTTTTCTTGTATGTCCCTCAGTGAATCACACAAAGCATTGCTGTCCATCCGACTGGCCACGCGAAAGGCGGAGCAGGCCCTGCAGGAGCGGCAGTACGATCTGCACATGACCATGATGCGGCAGCGGGTCAAGTCGGCCCCCCTGCTGCTGGAGGGACCCACGTTCTGGGGGCCGGAGGTGGGCAAGCTGAGCCACACGTGCCAGAGCGAGGGCAGGCGACACACGTGCGAGAGCAGCAAGCAGCGCAGAAAGAAGTCCAGCTGCCCGGCCGGCGAGGCGGACGCCAAGTTGCAGCAGCTGCGGAAGATCTACGGATCGGAGAAGTCCTGTTCGCGCCAGTCGCAGCGCAGCAAGCGCTCCGCCCGGCGGCATAGGGACCAGGAGACGGAGACACCCAGCCACGACAGCGGCGATGATTTGTGCAGCGTGGACCGCGCCTTCCTCTAGAGAATCACTTAATTCCGAAGCACCTAGTCACAATACATGAATGCATTTTTTGGATGATCCCATCGCCAGCTCTTTATTCGGGCAGTTGCAAGGTGTGGAGGGAGGAGAAGTCTGCAATAAGCTCGTGTCTGCTCTTCTGGTCATCGGTGAGGGGAGCGTTGCCTGGACGCTGGAGCACTATGGTCTGTAGCCCAGCGGATCGAGCAGCGGCAGCTTCTGCATGGGACAAAGCATTATTGGATGCAAATATTGCAGCAGCTATCCACCACCTACCTCCAGGAGTATCCGTGAGGAAGAGAATGTGACGCGGATCTTCCCCCAAAGTCTTGGCGATGTTTGCATACGATTGCGTCTCCTGTTTGTGGCCCACGTGGGTGTCAAAGTGTGCACTGAGATGGGTCAGCAGGTCCCCCACAACGCTGTGCTTGAAGATTAGCTTCTGGGCGGCCACACTGCCGCTGGAGTAGACGGCAATCCGCAGGCCCGCCTCACGCCAAGCCGCAAAGGCACCAGGCACGTCCGTGAAGACGCTGCGAAAGGGTGCACTCATAATTGGTTTATCGGGCAGTGGTTATCTAAGATTTACTGTCCCATGAGTTCGCCGCTTTCATAGCCCTGCTGCCAGATTAGGCCCTGGAGCGCTTTCAGCGCCGTCACCTTCAGATCTTTGTCAATCAGATAACGCACAAAGCCTGTGATTACCTGCACATCCACATCCGTTGGAGGAACACGCAAGGTGTATTCCGCAAATTGTGGAACCTGTTGCAGCTGTCGGACAATCTCTTTGATCTCGACACTGCTGTCCCAGGAGTCTTCGAGGAACTTTTCTACATTATTCTTGGCGTAGGGAAAGAGAATGTCGTGCACAAAGCCGATGGATGTGGTGGTTCCTTCTATGTCCACCAGTACCACCTTGGCAACACGCTCTGTCGACGGCATTACTATCCCAATTAATTAAAAATTTCAAAGAAATTAAAATGTCACAGCATCTGTTTATTGTTGATTAGTGATGACAATTCATGCAAATTTATTGCTATCGATTAGTTGCCGGCAAGTAGTGTTGCACAGTGCCAGCGTATCGTACGATCGCTGAAGCTGCTGCCTATCGTTGGCTATCGGTCCATGTCCATCGCTAGCTCGTAAAAAATAAATTTGTGGGCTAAAAAATTGTTAAATTTCGCTATTTTTCGCATAATCTGCGCTAAAAACCGATAAAGCAAGTCAAGGTTACACCTTCCAGAGCGCGGAGAGTGAAAGTGAGCTGGCGAAAAGCGCAAATAAAGAGAGAAAAGCCGATAAGAAGCAGAATCACAACCATCAGCTGCATTGTGTGTGCTGTGCGCTATTTTGTTGTAGTTTATTTGGCATATATTCGGGTGGGGTGGCCTACGTGATTAAAATACCCATAAAAAGGGGGCCAAGAGTGAAATGGTGCAGGGCACAGTTGGCTAACACGAGCCGCGGCCGTATTTTTGCAAAATAATTGATAGCGTTCGTCGGAAACGAAACAGCTGAAATCGCCAATAATCTGAGACGCAGCCCCGTTTCCGTGTGTGGGTGTTTTCCCCCATCTGTGTGTGTGATTTTGCTTCTCCGCGCTTGTGCTTGTGTGTGTGTGTGTGTGTGTGGAGGGGGCGAAGGTACAAATACACCCACCAACAAAACGCAGTCGCAATCGCAGCGGGCAGCGCGCTCTCAAGGTTAAAATCGGTCGACGGCGCCCATTGCCGCCGCCGCCGCAATGCTCTGATGATGAGCAGGGGACGCGCCAAGGACACAGGGAACAGGAACCGCAACCGCGACCGCGACATGGATACGCCGCGCTGCTCCATTTGCGGCACCACCCAGCAGCTGTTGCGCTGCGCCAAGTGCAAGGCCATCTACTACTGCTCGGCGGCGCACCAGCACATGGACTGGCCCAGTCATCGGCAGGACTGTCGCCTGTTGGCCCGCCAGAAGAACAACAACAAGATGCAGCAGATGCAACAGCTGCAGCAGGCCGTGGCAGCCACCACACTGGAGGGCAGTGGCGCTGGCGCCAATTGCTCCACGGCCCAAATGATGACGCCGGCCCACCAGGCCCAGAGCTGGCCGGCAGAGGTGGATAATCTGTTGAATCTCCTCGGGCAACCGGGACAGGGTGGCACACAACCATCGGGAGATGGCAGCCAGCGGCAGAGCCATCAGCACCATCATCATCATCATCACAACCACAGTGGGGAGAAGAGCTCCAGCTATCAGATCGGACTGGCAGACGCCAGCTTCATGGGATCGGGCAGGTGAGTCACAGAGTAAATGGCACCTCCGTTTAATGCACACCAAAAACATTCAACAGAGAGTGAGGATCCAGAACAGGGCTAACGCCGATACATGAACATAATTTGGATGCAACTGGACCAGAAATAGAAGACGACTCTAGGAATAGATGATTCACTTGATAGCTAGACAACGTTGGCCATCTTGACCAGATCCGACAACGAGTGGGGGGCAGTACCTATGTGGCCAGCCTGGTACGACCGACACTTGTCCAGCACTCGCTCAAACTCCAAGTCCATTTTGAGGTCGTTCTGGTCCCGGGCCTCGTCCCACTGGGGTCGCTGCTTGGCTGGGGCCTCTGCTGGAGCGATGGACTGATCTTCGGATGCATAGATTGTGGCCACTGCTGAGCTGGCTCCCTCGATCAGCGCCAGCACGAGACACCCGATTAATGCACTGTTTGCCATTTGCCGGACTCCCTGGCGGGCGGCGAGAATGCCACCCGTGGCAGCGCCGCTCACAATCGAGTTCCACGAGTCCTCACGCTGCCTGTAGTGGACCAGCGCACAGTCCACCGCGCTGAAGGTGGCACCCCAAACGGCAAAGCTGCCGGAAATCGCGGGGGTCTTCATCTTCACGGAATCCAATCCGCCGTAGATCCCGCGAAGCAATCCCGCGGGGGCATCCCTGAATCCCTTCATACTCTGGAACAGGGCCCCGCCAATGGTGCCCATCATGAAGGCACAGCCAGCGTCCTCCACAATCCGTATGGGACAGGGCTGACGAGTGTACTCCATCCTCTGGGCTGCTCCTAAATCGAAATTTCTCACTATCGGGACTTCTTTTTACTGTGGATCTGTTTGTATTTTTTGCTTCCTAACCGTATAACGTGTATTTTTTGAATGGCTTTTGGGGTTTACATTATTTTGAAGCTTGTGCTACTTTGCTTAAAATCGGTTTGGATCGAATCGGTTTGGATCAGCCCTATACACAGGGGTGTTTTCGTATAACTAGGGAGAGTCCTTTGGAGCATATCATTCATGATATAGATATAGCTTTAAAGAACAATATTCTGTATTCCGGAGTACTTTGACTTTTCCAAACTTTCATTTGCACTACTTATCTGACATATGCTCGTTGGATCTGGCACGGCTGATAGTCGAGTTATTGTTCCCTTTGATTAGATCCATTTCTCGAGTTGAAGCACACTCGAAATACTTTTTCGCAATTGACCAAAATCATCTTGCCACGAAGCTCAAGTGTGTGTGTGTGTTCGAAGGCAGATTAGTAGCCGCCGCGACTCGCGCCTCGCACCGTAACATGTGCATTCCTTCCCCACTTGCATATCGAGGCAATTACCGATAAGCGTTACGTGCGATGACTGATGAATGTTCCCCTGCGACTCCATCCGATCCCCCATATTCGCATTCCCCCCACCCACTTAACATTCTTTATTTGAACTCGAAATTTATGAATCTCCTGCCCCGTGTACATGTGTGCTGTTGCCCCTTCGAGGGAGATTAGATTGTCTCCGGGTTGCAGTGGTGAACGAGAAGAGCCCCCCTTCGGGAAGAGTGTTTACCTTTCGCATTACGTGCCCGGGAATCGAATGCATATGGCGGTTCAGTCGTCGCGATTCGATAACAACTGCAGGCAGGCTGCGGCTGCGGCTGCTGACTGCAGTCCCATTTCCCCTGACAGCGCTGACATTGTAATTATTCTGTTGCGCAGTTTGTCGGTACCAAAAATTGTTTATAATCACCTAGAAATACCCTCACTGAATTGGTCCTTACATTTTTGGATAGAGTTTGAGTTGCGATGGCACAGCCATATCCCATCTGGTTTTTTCTTTGAATACCAGCCTCCTCCTGACAATGAACAGTCAGAAATGTAATAAAACAATAACTATAATATTCCTGTTCTATTCGCATTCATTGAATATTGAATGATGCGAATGAGGCTGATTTGCTGCACAAATTTCCCACATTTGGTTATTAGATGAATATAGGATACAATTACCGATATTTGGGAGGAATATTGTACAGCTTGAAGATTAACAATCAGCTGTTTTTTTTATCAACATTATCTGTAACTACCTTGGAATGATGATGGTTGTTCTTCGTAAGGGTATCTACAGCGTAGGTCTCCGTAGCCCACCACTTTCTCTGTTGCTTTGTTCAGATTTGTTTTCATTTTACACACCAGAATAGAACCGGCATTAACAGACACAATAAATATGGTTTTTGCACACACTGTCTATGCGAGTATTGTGAGATTCTTTTGCAAACGTTGCTTGTTGCTGAATCATCGATACTTTTGCGCGTTCGTTCCTTTTGTTGTTATCGTTCGGGGCTTACCGAGTGGGTGCCTAAGTGGGTGGTCCGTTCCGTTTCGTACCGTCCGCCCATTCACTTGGGTGGTCGCCTCCGACTCTGCGTACGTGCCGCGCGTACGCAAGTCTTTCGTTCAAATGTTGTTATCATTTATCGTAGTACAATTTGCGTCTCGTTTGCTTTTATTTTTGTTTGTTTACTTGCTGCTGCTGCTGCTGCTCCCCACAGCTGATGGCGGTATCAGGATCGGGATCGGGACGAGCAACTGATGTTTTTCTTTATCAAACAATTAGCAGTGGCAGTGACATGATCTCATTGGGGGTTTGCACAAAATTCTACATTGTTTATTAATGTGTTAACAAAATGCTGAGACTGGGGGCCTTTTGCTCACGTCTGTGCGCCTGTCAAGCGACCGGGGTCTGGCACATTCCGGTCCGGGATTGGGAACGGGTTCGGGGTTCTTTCGGGTGGGGTGGGGCCAAGATAAACAAAGCATTGCGCAAAACATGCTAACCAGCGATCCACTTAAACCGCATCAAAGTCTCTGTCGGAATAGTCGGTTTGATCTAATTAAAAGGGATTAAAGATTGTGGAGTGCTGACTTTCCTCAGTGGGGAAACTAATTATAATCTTTATAGGCTTTAATAAAGGTTCTCTTAGCCGGTTGTATCCATCACTTTCCATTGGCGTTTGCAATCTCTTTCCATGAGTTCTGCGAGTTACCATCACCATCTGCCAGTAAATTAGACTTTGACATAATGAAAAGTCTGAGTAACCGATCGTTAACACATTATTTTCTTTAATTAAGTTTAGTTTAGCAACGCTTTTGACAGATACATACATACACATGTACATACATATGTAAATACATATGTATGTGTGTACATTAAATGCTTAGCTATTTTTGCATTTACTTAGTGAACAGCTTTCGGAACACGCTGTACAGATGGCACTACTCAAACCACTAATCGTAATATGCGAAATTTATAGAAATTGTTTATAGATTATAAATAATATACGATATAAAAGATTTTTCAGTTGAAATTATGACTTGGGGGAATGCATGGACTTATATTTGGGATCCGAGATCCGAGGAACAAGTTATTTAAACTAAGCATATTTCCAGGAAATTCTGGCAAAGTATCGGGCTATAGTATTATCGGAATTTTGCAAGAAACTTAAGAAAGAAACGGATACGTTGTGGATTCATGCGGAAATCTGCTTTGCACATTTTTCCTCTTCGAATTACAGAGGTTTTGAATTCGGAAATTAGCGTATTCCGTATAGCAATGGGCAGATGGTTTTCTGTTTTACTTACCTGTAAAATAAGTTGCTACTCCCATACGAGTTGCTCTTTTATACCTGTACATTGTAGATCCCTGGACTTAGGATGGGTTCACTAATTTCCATATGGGTCCTGTCATGTGAACCCACTTTACATCTAAAACGCTTACATCCCATCTAAAACGCTGCGGGCAATAATATACACAGTAGATACATGGATTGATAAGTTTCCATAGATCTCGAACCATCAACCCCATTCCCACAACAAATCAAACACCAGACGGAACAAAAACAGTTAGTGGTGTACTACGTAGACAGACGCACGTCATCAAGGTCGCCTCAGTGCGTATGGTATGCGTGTGCGCCGCCCGCCCGCACCCGACCCCTGGCGGCTGTTCTTCCTTCCGCCACCCGCCGAAACCGGTTTTGGGGAGGGTGGGAGGTAGACATGCGTGTGGTACACGTGCCAGCGCGCCAGTTGTCGCACGTAATACATCCCAAAACCGAAAAGGGCTTCAAGGGCTCACAAATCGATCATCACACTATGTACGCAGAGAGCGAGATAGAGAGGGCGTACCGTACACTCATTCCGCTGTGTGCTCTCCTCTCTGACTTTGAACTGGGCCGTTGACCTAATTTTGCAGAGAGCATTCATTCTCATGTTTTATGATGTTTCCCCATCCTCTTCCTATTCTTCATTTATTTGTTGTATTATTCTCGAAGCTTTATGTTTTGGCATATTCGCTTTGCTTGGCCAAACATATTTAAATATCTACCTCCCGCTCGTTCCTTCCCTCTGCTCAGCTGTGTCTCTTGCACTCCCTTTTGCTCCTTGGCGTCTCTCTCTCTAACGGTCGGGTATCTAACGCGTGTGCGTGTGAGTTTTCGTGACCGCTTGCGTGCCTCTGTGTATGTGTTGGTGTGCGCTGGGCTACGTGACGATTGTTGCGCTTGTCTTTTTCTGGCTTTGCCTTTTGCGTTTGCTTTGCTTTGTGGGTTGGTTTGCATTTGCTTCCAGTTTCGAGTGTGTTTGCTGTCTCTGCTGTGGGCGTTGCAAGCGCTTGAAGGGCAAACGGAAGGAAGCCCCAGACGTAACAGTCACTTATTTGATACTCTGATTTGATAACGAAACAAAACTGAGGTGCCGTGACCGGCAACTGTCATATTTCGCATCAGCAATTTTCCCCGTTTCATTCCCCTGTATGCCAAAGTTTGTTATCTGCTGCTGCTGCTGCCGCTGCCGCTGCTGCGGTCGCCGTTTTCATTTGTCAATTATTTACTCACACTCGACGAGCTTATCGCTTTACTCTAGTGGCGTTTCCCAGGCCCCCAAAGCTCTCCTTCTCTCACTATCATTCTGCTCCGCAGCTCATACTCTCCCCAAGCCCAAGGTATATGAATGTGGGGTGAGGCATTCCCTCTCTTCGCTTTTTGTTTGCTCACCAAAAAAATATAGAAATTCTGCTAGAGTTTTGGTTTTCTGAATATCTAGTAAAGGGCCAATCACAACTGATAGAAATTGAGAAGAAGGCGAAACTTATTTCAAACACCAATGATACCCAATACTTGGGCAACAATCTCAAGAGGCCCTTCTGGCATGGCTCACCCTCTATTAATATACTTTGGCAACCTGCACTATAAACTCGTGTCTCACTCTCGCCTACGCCTGAGCCAACGGGGGGCAACAGTAAATGCTGCTGCCACACCGCATTCGTCCAAAATCGTCGTCGAGAGCGGTTCGTGCTAGCGTTAATTAATGGAATTCTGAAGCTAGAACGATAAACAAACGTGACTAAGGAAGAAAGACAGAAACAAATGTTAATAAAAACAAACAGCTGCAAATACAGAAACACAAAAACAATAACAGCAACAGCAACAGCTGGCTGCAACAAATGCAATCTGCAATTATTCATACCTGTGCACTCACACCAAACCAAGGCCAACAAAAAGTATTAGCCTTAGTTGCCCTATACCAATACGATAAAACCGGCTCTCCCTCTCTCTCTCTCACACACGCGCGCCGCTCTCCGCCACCACTCTCTCAGGGCACATAAAACCCGCGAACAGTTGGAAACTTTCTTCATTTGTGCGTGAAAATTGTTGCTATAGAAGTCGCTCAGAGAGAACTCCACTCCTGCTAAGATAAACGATCTACCGTTAAAGAACATTCATCGGGCTAGTGTTAACAGAAGTTATTCAGAACAGTATCAAAATAAAGCTACGCTACGCTGAGTGATC